TTTGAATAAAGTAAATGCTTTAGACCTTGTAGGTCACTTCTGGTCTCTGTTGCATATTATTTCTCTTTTGACAACCCTTTAAAATTGTACAAGACACTTTTCTTTCATTATTACCTCCCCCTAAACAGTCTTTTTTGGCTTCCCAGGTGGCACTAGTGGTAAAGAACCTGTGGGTTTGATCCCTGGCTTGGGAAGATACCCTGGAGGAGGGCATGGCAACTCTCCTGGAGAATTCTTGCCTGGAGAATCCTGTGGACAGAGGAGCCTGGCGGGCACCAGTCCACGGGGTCGCAAAGAGTTGGACAAGATTGAAGCGACTTAGCACACACACAAAAAGCCTTTTTAGACAGATTTTTCCCTAATCAGTGAACCTCATGAGATTTTAATATTACAGTTATATTATATATCTATTTATATATTGTATCTATGTCTATATATCTGTTTTATTTAAAAAAAAAAAAAAGATAAGAGCCCAAGAGCCAGTTTTTGCTCCTACTGAGAGTGGCTGGATCTGGATTGGACTCCCTCCCCAGTCCAGACATGGGAGGCTGGGCAACTCTCGGTGGGATTCTCCCAGGCAAGCATCCCTGGCCCAACCCCTCAATGCCAGGAGCTCCTTCCCCAATCATGACAACCACAGATGTCCCTAGACACCATTTTGGGGAGCAGGAATGCCCCAGTCAAGTCCCTCTGTGCTAGGCAATTTCTTTGCATAGACATCAACTTTGAAATATAGACTCTCTGAGCTGGGCCTCAGTTTACAAACCTCATCAACTGGGTAGATTTAGTCAGATAGTGCCGTGAAGCTCATAACACAGTAAAAGCTCAACAAATGAAAGCTGCCCGCTTGGGGACTGGGATGTCGGACATTAGCCAGCCTTTAGGCGTTATCCAGTCTGGGTCTCTAAGTAGAAAGGAGGTGGGAGAATTATCTGTGCTCTGTCTTCTTCGGATTTTTCATGGAAATATCCAGAGCAGCTCAGCCTGACAGAACTATGATGATGGCGTGTTCAGTGCTGGCCAATTCAGTCACCACTGACCAAGTGTGTCTGTCCAGTATTGAAAGGTAACTGGCGCGACTGAAGTCCTGAAAATTGCATTTAATTTCAGTTTAGCCAATTTAAATTTCAAGTCACACGTCACTCGGGGCTCCCACACTGGACAGCTGCAGAAGATTGGGAGTTTCCAGAAACCAAATAACTGGCAAGTGGTCAGCAGGTGGATGAGAAATAGTTTGAGGTTTTTAGGGATGATTAAAAATAAGATGGTGTAATAGAAAGGAAGGAGGTTCTGACGCCTGCTACAATGTGGATGAACCTCAGAGGACGTGATGCTCAGTGAGAGAAGCCAGGCACAGAAGAAGTCAAATCTGTAGAGATAAGTAGATGGTGGGGGCAGGGGTTAGGGGAGGGGACAGAGAGTCAGTGTTTCATGGGAATGGAGTTTCAGTTTGAGAAGATAAGAAAGTTCTGGAGATAGATGGTGGAATGGTCACAAGACAGTCTGAACTGACTTAGTGCCACTAACCTGTACACTTAGAAACAGTTAAATGGTAGAGTATATGTAATGTATATTTCAAAACAATCTAAAAATCAAATTAAAAAAATTTTTAATAAGATGTCATACAAGTACAGCCTCATATCATTTAGAAACTATACTTAATTAAATTTAAAAAGAACTCCCCAGAGTATAGGAAACAGAGAGAAACAGGGTGGGGGGAGTGAGCTTCTTCAACCCAGTAAAGGAATTTGCAGAAACCCACAGCTAACATAGTTCTTAGTGGTGAGAGACTGAATGGGTTTCCTCTAAGATCAAAAGCAAGACGAGGACACCTGCCCCCACCACTTGTAGTCGACAGGGTTTTGGAAGGCCTAGCCGGTGCAATAAGGCAAGAAAAAAAATCAGAGGCATGCTGACTGGGAAGGAAGAAATAAAATTAGCTCTGCTTGCAAGTGATACAGTGTCTACATAGATAACCCCAAGCAAAAAGGGGTTAACCCATAAAGAAAAAGGGGGGGTGCAGCCTTAGAACTAACATGTGAGTTCAGCAAGGTTGCAGGATACAAAATTTTGTTGTTGTTGTTTAGTCACTAAGTCATGTTGGGCTCTTTTGCAACCCCGTGGACTATAGCCCGCCAGGCTCCTCTGTCCATGGGATTTCTCAGGCAAGAATACTAGAATGAATTATCATTTCCTTCTCCAACAAGCTTAAAACCCCCAAACCAATTCCATTTCTAAAATTTAGCAATGATCAATTAGAAACCTAAATTAAAAGGACTTCCCTGGTGGTCCAGTGGTTAAGACTCCATGCTTCCCCTACAGGAAGTGTGGGTTTGGTCCATGCTCAGGGAACTAAGACCCTGCATACTGTGCAGTCGAAAGAAAGAAAGGCCTTAACCAATTTTTTTTCCATAAGAAAAAGGAAAGAAACTTAAAAACACTCTCATTTAGGTCCTCCAAACCTTCCATGTATTGAATGTCAGTTTGGCACCAACATTTTACAATTGTTATTAGCTGACATGGAGTCCTGACAAACCCTGGGAGGTGGGTTGTGTCATATCCTCATTTTACAGATGAGGAAGGTGAGGCTCAGACACATGATGTGGCCGGCCTGAGGTCAAGAGCAGACGGTAAGAGCGCCAGACTAGAGCCAGCCATAGCTAGCGCCATGGCTTTCAGTCCATAGGAAGTAAAGGCACCCAAGGCAGAAACAGCCAGACAGTAACAACAGCAATGAAACTCTACTCTGGTGGGCGACGTGCTTACAGCTCTGAGGGAGACGCTGTCACGGTGCCCGTTTCACAGGTGTGGGGAGTGAGGCACGGGGAGAGGCCCGCAGGCCCGGCTGCCTGGTTCCAAAGCAGGAACACACAGACAGTGCTTGAGAAATACCCCTACCTCCTCGGGTAGGCGCCTGAGTGCCAGTCGGGCACCGCTGCCTGCTGAGTCCGTATGGGCTCCGGTTCTGGAAGAGGGTCTGTGCCCGAGGCCTGGAGCCCAAAGGCTGGCTGCCCAGGCTGGGCCCTTCCCAACAGTGGCCACCCGTGCCCAGCCACGCGCCCATTCAAGCAGGAAGGCTGGCTCCAAGGGGCCGCTGGCTGCCCAGCCCGGGAATTGCCACGGGGCGTGGGGCCCAGCCAGGCACAATCCCCTTGCTGCTGTCCAGCCTTGCCCAGCCCAGCTGGCCACACGGGGGGCTGCTCAGCCAAGCCAAGGAGGGCTGCCTGTATGCGCTTCTGTCGGGGATGGGAAGCTGAGGCGGGCTGGTGGTGGGGCACTCCTAGGCTTTTTACAGCATCCACGGTCTTGGCCACCAGCAGGTGCTCAGCGCACAGTGTGTACAAAGCTGCAGGTTCCATGCCAGGCAAATGGCGCGGGATCAGTGACTGTTGTGAGCAGCGTCATCATTACTATTATCCTCAGCAACCCTGGGTGAATCAAGGCCCAGGAGGGGAAGTGACCTCTCCAGGACCACGTGGCCCCGGATGCTCCCAGAGCTGGGATGGGAACTCAGGCACCGAACGGCAGATGCCAAGCAGTTTACGTTGGCCGCGCTGCACGTCTGGATGCATGTGCAGAGTATGAATTAAATTAACAAGGGAGGCTTCCCCGGTGGGCCAGTGGTTAGGATTCTGCGCTTCCATTGCCAGGACCACGGGTTTGATCCCTGACCAGGTAACTAAGATCCCCACAAGTCGCTCACCTGGTTGGGGGGGGGGGATTAAAAAGTAAGTGAAATAAAATGATACACTACTATAAAAAAAATAACAACAAGGGGTGTAGTGTAGGCACTTTTTCGTCATTCTAACCATCTATTTTCCTTGTCCAAAAAATGCGTACACTAAGAATGCCACATAAGTAGCTCTTAATGATTTAAGGGAAGGTATGAAATGATAACAACAAAGTGCCATATCTACAGTCATCTTAGGGACTTAAAAATAACAATAATAATAATAATGGGATAGATGTTACCATGTATATAGAACTCAATATGCCCTAAGTGCTTAATATATACTGTTAATATCCCCTTGCCACCTACTGGCAACCCAGTCGGGCCTGTGAAATGCTTTCACACATTTGAAAGAGGCTGAGGGCAGGTAAGCAACTTGCCTGAGGCTCAGGGCAGGTAAGGAACTTGCCTGAGGTCACACAGCAAACAGCCCTGGGCTTGGAGTGTGGCAGGTGGCAGGGGCCTGATTCTTTCTCCGTCATTTGATGGTGCTTCCCGCCACCTTAGCCCTTGACCTGAGACATAAATGAATAGGGCTGTAGGGGTTCTGCCTGACTGGGCTTGGCCATGTGCTCCCCTGCCCCCAACCCAGGGTGGAGGGTGGGGGTGGGGACTGCAGAGGGGGCTGGCGTGACTCGCCCTCCATCTAGTTCTCTGGAGCCAATAACGCTGAGCTCAGCGTCTGTCTGCTTCACCCGGCTGCCAAGGAGCCTGATTATTTTTAGATAAGATGGGGGGGCGGGCGCCGGGGTGGGAGGGAGCCCCCAAGTTGGGCAGGGGAGGGGGACATCACAGCTGTGGAAATGTGCCCCTCAGCCCCCTCTCTGGGGACCCTGAATAGCAACCCAAGACCATGGGCTGGGCTCCTGGGACTCTGAAGGCAGAGGAAGATGGGAGGGATCCTGAGGGGTCAAGGACTCACCTGCTGGCCCTCAGTTTTCTCATCTGTAAAATGGGCATGAGGGTTCCCACCTCATACAGTGGAGGCAGGATTAAATGAGCTATCCTTACTTGACAGAAGAGGAAACTGAGGCTCAGAGAGCACTTCCCTATGACCGAGCCAGCTCCTGCACTTGGGTTCTCACCCGTGACCCCAGTGACAGAAGACATTCACAACCCTCTGTGGCAGCAGCCAGGGAAGGGGCCACGCCATGCTCCAGACCGCGGTCTCCATGGTGCTAGTCCCAGCTAGGGCTGGGCTGATGCCTCCCCGCCTCGGGATGGGAACCCCTGTGGCGATGTCACCAATTCCCCCTCCCTTTCTTTGCAGATGCAGAGCAGAGTGGCAGTCCCCGGGCAGGGATGGGCTCTGACCAGGAGGACAGCAAGCCCATCACACTGGGTGAGTCTGGGGGTGGCGGGGTGGAGGACACGGTTGCATTCCCATCTTTTATTTAGGAGTAATTTTGGGAACACCCTTTGTGGGTTCTGTGTGGTCCTGTATGAGTACCTGAGTCATTCCTGGAGTAGGTGCTGCTGTTGTTCTATTTTGCAGAGGAGGAGACTGAGGCCCAAAGAGGCATATGAACCTTCCAGTGGTGTCCAGGGAGCTGGGGTTGGAACCCATGACCCTGAGCTCCAGCATCTGGGCTCAGAGGTGCTCCCCCAGCAGTCTCACAGGATGTTCAATGAATGAGTAGGACAAGTCAGTTCTGTGTTGGGGTTGGGGGGTGGGAAGCAGGAGAATTTGGCTGCATCAGGGCTGGAAGCAGACGCCTGAAGGACAGAAAAGTTTTGGAAGCTGCAGAGGCCCTGCTTCTACTCTATCCCCTGGCTCCTGTCTGTCACAGTCTGTCTTCCCTGAAGTGGTCAGAGGGCTCCTGTGAGCACTTGAGTCATGTGTTGCCCCTCCCCCACCCACATCCCTCAGGGTAAAAGCTCAAGTCCTTGCTGCAGACCAGGAGGCCCTGTACAACCTGCCCCATGCCCTCGGTCCCCCACCTCCTCCTTCTCTGCCCCTTGCTCACTCTGGTCCAGCCACAGGGGGCCTCCTCACTTCTCCTCCAATACGCCAGGCCCCCCAGGGCCTTTGCACAGGCTGTACCCTCTGTCTGAACAGCAAACTGCTCTGTCTCTCTCAGATCACCCAAGTCTTAGCTCAAATGCCTCCCTCTCAGAGAGATCTTCTTTGAGCTCCTTAGCTCAAGCCACCTGGCCACTCTCAATCCCAGCCCTCTGTTTTAGTTCCTTTAGAGGAAGTTAGTGATTGCGTATGTATTTGCTTAGTTGCTTAGTGATTGCATATGTGTTTGCTTATCTCACCTGGTGGAACGTCCCCTACTAAAGGGCAGAGGTGTTTGTCTTGATCACTGCCCTGTCCTCAGTACCTAGAATAGGACACAGTACACAGCACATGCTCAAAAAACATTTATAGAAAGAAAGAAAAAAGAAAAAAAAAAAGGAGAGGAGGGATAACGCAGAGGAAAAGGGAAACTAGAGAGAGAGTACACCAGGAGCAGGGACAGAGGGGAGATGAAAAGGGAGAAGGGAAGAAACAAGCGGTGGGTGAGGGCATCCCCCATGGAACGTCCGTCACAGGCATGCACAGGGAGGCTGGACGGTTCCAGGAGGCTCACAGGCCCCCGGGCCACACCTCACTGGCCATCTGTGACCTGAGTCCTCCTTGGCCTCCTGTGATCCCCACGTGCCTCCCTCCAAGCCAGATGTTCGAGGCAGGCGGCGGGGCTCCGGCATTTGGCCGGGTCCCATGGGGAGCTCCAGCGTCTGGTGGAGGAAGTCACTTCCTCCCCGCCCGCCAGGGAGTCCCCTGGAGATGGAGCTGGGCGAGCGCTGCACAAACAGGAAACCCCTGTGGGGGGAGGGGGGAGGGGCGTGCTGACAGCAGCTGGCCAGCTGGGTCAGCAGGAAATGGCCATGGCCACTTCCCCTGGACACTGGGAGCCACCGCCCTGTCCTCCTCGGGAATGTTGTGGTCCCCAGCCTTCCACCATGGGCCTGGGCAGGCAGTAATTGCTCAATAAATTGTGGACACAAAGTTCATAAGCAAGGAGGGGTCTTAAGTGACGGACAGCGGGGAAGCCCGGCGCTGCTCTGCGCTCTCTGCGGCTAGTGCTGCCCCCTAGGGGCCTGGACAAGAACTGCTCCCACCACCACCTCGAAACCAAAAGCTGCCACCTCTACTCTGACCGCTCTCCTGGCTCCTTCAACTCCAGCCCTGTCAGTCTCCACTTCACCAAGTGTGTCCCCACCCCAGGGCCTTGGACTTCCCTGATGGTCCAGTGTTCCACGCTCCCACTGCAGGGCACGCGGGTTCGATCCCTGGTCAGGGATTTTCCGCATGCCGTGTGAAAGTGAAAGTCACTCAGTCGCGTCTGACTCTGCGACCCCATGGACTATACAGGTTAGAATACTGGAATGGGTATCCAGTCTCTTCTCCAGGACATCTTTCCAACCCAGGGATCGAACCCAGGTCTCCCACATTGCAGGAGGATTCTTTACCATCTGAGCCACTAGGGAAGCCCAAGAATATTGGAGTGGGTAGCCTATCCCTTCTCCAGGGGATCTTCCCAACCCAGGGATCGAACCAGAATCTCCTGCATTGCAGGCGGATTATTTACCAGCTGAGCTACCAGGGAATCCTCACACGCTGTGTGGTGTATCCAAAAAAAAAAAAAAAGCCCTATGTTCCAACCCTAGGGCCTTTGCATAAGCCATCCCCACTGCCAGGAACATTGTAGCCCACAGGAAGGTGGCAAAACATTGAGTTTAAGATCATTCTAATCAAGGCAGCCAACTTCTCACAAGACAGTTTCACTGTGCCAGGGGCTGTCAGGACACTTCTCAAATTCAAACTCACATTTCTATTTTCCACTCCTACCCTGATGTCTTGGTTGAATGTCACCCTCCCAGGAACGCCTTCTCTGAGCCTTTTGTGCACAATAGGTCCCCTCCCCATCAGGCTCCCCCACCTTGCTACCCCCTGACACAGCTCATGTTTGACTTAATGATCTTTAAAAGTTTTTTTAAATTGTGGTACAACACACATAAAATGTATCATTTTAACCATATTAAAATGTACCATTCGGTGGTATTAAGTACATTCACCAAACTGTGCACACATCACCTGTCTGGTTCCAGAACATTTTCATTACTCCCAAAGCAACCCCATCTCCATTAGTCACTCCCCTTCCTTAGGTAACTACTCATCCACTCTCAGTGTCTGTGGATCAGCCTGTTCTGGACATTTCCCATCAGTGGGATCACACCCTGTGTGTCCTTCTGTGTCTGCTTCTCTCACTGAGCATCATGTTCTCAGGGTCTGTCCACGTGGTGGCAAGTGTCAGGGCTTCTCTCCTCTTCATGGCTGAGTGATGCTCCCATGTGTGGAGGGACCACATTCTATCTATCCATCATCACTGATGGACATTTGGGTGTTCTCTGATTTCAGCTACTATAAATCATGCTGCTATGAACATTCATGTACAAGGGTTTTTTACTTCCTGCTCTTATGTGGCTTCCTTTGCCCACTCCAGACTGAGAGCAGTGGCCCCTGTTAGTCTTGTTCCCCATGGTTTCCCCAGTGTCCAGCTCGGAGGCAGACACAGGAAGTGCCTGGGAAACACTTGCTGGGAGAATGCGTCCTGCCTGTGAGGGCCTCTGGGCAGGACAGGCCTGTTCCCTCCCAGCTGTCTAGGTGGGTCAGGGCTCTTGCCCTCTTGGGGCCAACCTCAGTTTCCAAATCCATGAAATGTGTCTAAACCACCCCATCCTGGAGAGGAGGCTGTCCAAGTGTCCAGACAGCCCCTGGCACAGTGAAACTGCCTTTAACATTAGGCAGGAATGGGTCTAGGCACACTGGAGATTTTAACTGCTGCCTGTGGACCCTCCATTCAGCCCATGGTTTTGAGCCTCTGCTGTCTTCTAGGTTCTAGCCCAGGAACTGGGGATGCCACAGAGCTCCCAGCCTGGCAGCAGAAAGCTAAAAGACTGCAGTGTTGCATGGGGCAATGAGTGAGGCAAAAGGACTGAGCTGGTCCCTCTTGGGTTGTAGCATTCATATCTTACAATCACCCAAGGTGACAGGGTGTATGGTCCCCACTTTGAGACCAAAGAGGTAAAGTGACTTGTCCAGAATCACACACCAAGTGGGCACCCTAGCTGAGATGTGAACCCAGGTCTGGCCTCCACTCGTGTGTGCAGCCTGCCATGCCACAAAGACCCTGGAGGAAGGCTGGGAGGCTGGAGGACAGGAGGCTGGCTGCAGCTGCGCTGAGAAGGACGGAGCAGAGACTCAGAAATGAAGATCCGCTCCAGCTGCATCAGAGCAGAGGGTTCCTCCTCAGCCTGGAAGGGTTGAAACAGCCATCCTCCCTCTGCGGTCAAGGAGGATGGGGTAGACGGGGATGCCTGGTCAGACACCCCAGAGTCTGGGCAGCCCAGAGGTGTGAAGGTGGGGGACCAGACCTAGCTCAGCCAGACACCTGCTGAGCCCTGTCCTCTGTCTCTTTTCCAGACACCACCGACTTCCAGGAGAGCTTCGTCACCTCCGGTGTGTTCAGTGTCACTGAGCTCATCCAAGTGTCCCGGAGTAAGTGTCCCCGCCCACCTGTGCTGGACCTGCTGTGGGAGGGGGGCAGCTGTCAGGAAGAAGTGGCTTTGGGATGGGGGCTCCCAGAAGGAAAGGGACTCAGGGAGGGAGGAAGAAGGAACCCATATCCCTGGCCCGCTCCCCCTCGTCCTCTCCAGCCACCCCTGTCACTAAACTAAGGTTCCTAGGAAGGGCAGTATCCAGGCCCTTTCCAGAGCCCAAGGTCAGGGTGACATGCATTTCCCCAGGAAGGGCTCTAGATGCTGGGTGGAGGGGCTAAATGAACTTCCACCCCAACATCCCCCTCCTGGGGCCTCCCTCACCCCATGAGGAGGATACCCCAGAGGGTCCCCCAATCTGCTTTCTCTCCTGTCCTTTCGCCTTACTTATGGACTTGCTGGGGACCCCCCCACCCGCCAGACACCTCCATTTCTAGTCCACACCTCAGGAAGCCCTGGTGGCTCAGATGGTAAAGAATCCACCTGCAATGTGGGAGACCTGGGTTCAATCCCTGGGTTGGGAACATCCCCTGGAGAAGGAAACAGCAACCCACTCCAGTATCCTGGCCTGGAGAATCCCATGGACAGAGGAGACTGGTGGGCTATAGTCCATGGGGTTGCAAAGAGTCAGACACAGCTGAGCGACTGAGCACAGCACAGCACCCTACCTTAACCCTAACCATCTCCCTCCCCGTCCAGATCGGCAGAGCCTGGCCTCTGGGAATGCTGGGAAGCTTGGCCTCCGGCTCAGGCTATGTCTCTACCTCACAGTGTGACTTTGGTGTCTTCTCAGTGGCCTTGTTCTTCTGATACATAGAATATAGGCCAGTTTCAGCCAAACTAGTGCCAGCCCCCAGAGGGCTCTCCCCACCCCTCCAGGGCAAATCACAGTCCTGGACCTTGTTCCCTCCCTCACCCTCCTCTCTGTCGCCTTCTGCAGCACCTGTGGTGACTGGAACAGGACCCAACTTCTCCCTGGGGGAGCTTCAGGGACACCTGGCATATGACCTAAATCCAGCCAGCACCGGCATGAGAAGAACGCTACCCAGCACATCCTCCAGCGGGTATGTCCCTAGGGCCCCACCTCTGGGCATTCCATAACCCCACCCACCCACCTCCATCCAGCCCCAGCTGGTTCACTCGTTTCCCTGTTTCCACATATCACCTGGAAAACTCTTATTTATCCTTCAAAATCCAGGACCCAAGTGATTCTTCCCCAGTCCTGACACCCCACACTAGACTCCCGCAGCCTAGAGTCCTACAGGCCCAGCCCTTGCGATGAGAACACAGACAATGGTTCTTGCTGAGATATGCTATGTGATCGTGAGCCGGTCACATTATGTTTGCCTCGGTTTCCTCATCTGTAAAATGGGATCATGATCCTACCAGGTTCTGGGGATTACAGCAGCTCAGAGATGAACCAGGTCTTCAGGGCTTTAGTCTCCACTCTGCTAATTTTCTAGCTTGGACCTCAGCCGAGTCCCTCCCTGTTTCTGGTCCCAGGTGTCCCATCCAAGTAACGGGCTAGTTATAACAAGTGTTATCTGAGGGTCAGGGGCAAGTCCGCGGCTCGCGTGACGTATCGCGATAGCACCTTCCTCGCCCCGCCCCTGCCAAGGGCCGGAAGTAGCGACGCCCGCTGGGCCCCCTGCGTCTCCGTGGTAACCGCCCTGCTGGCTTCCTCCTTCGCCCTTTAGGAGCAAGCGGCACAAATCCGGCTCGATGGAGGAAGACGTGGACACGAGCCCCGGAGGCGATTACTACACCTCGCCCAGTTCTCCCACGAGTAGCAGCCGCAACTGGACGGAGGACATGGAAGGAGGTGGGGCTGGCGGCGGGAGCTGGCCGGCTTTCCGGTCGGGGTTACCGCGGCTGGGACTACGTATTCCGACAGGCACTGCGCGGGCGCCAGGGAGTCGGGAGTCGGCCTGGAGCCATGGGGCTTCCTGGGGATTGTAGTCGCGCGGGCTGCGTTCGGCTGGACGTCAACTCCGGGTTTGCATTCCCGGAGCTCTTTGGTTCCACTCTGGCCGGCTTTCTTGCCCTCTGCCTGTAAACAGGCTATCTCTGTCAGTTTCTTGCTCTACAGAATTGACTCAATATAGATTCGATCAGCAGGGTGCTTCTTCTTGGGGTTCCCCATAGACCCTCCAATATAGCGTCGCCGCTAGAGGGTCCTGATACATAGGTTCCCTACTCACTTAGGGTCCTTTCTGGAGTTCCTCCCCCCCACCAAGATTCCCATCTTCACGGGATCTTGGTATGGGTGATTCCAGTTCCATAGAAGCCCCGCCTCTTCTCTTATAGCATCCTTTTCCTGGCAGGTTTTCTTGTTGCTCTTTTGTCTTCATAGGGTCCTCTCCAGAATGTCTCTCTTGAGGCTCCTGTTCTGTAGGGTCAGCTGTTTCATAGAGGCTCTTTTCTGTTGAGCGCTGGCTCCTCCGGATTCTTTGTTTACTAACCGTCTCCCCAAGGGCATTCTCCAAAGGCTTCCCTTCTTTGGCGTTTCCATCTCCACCGTCGTTGTCATCTAAAGAATCCCTTTATGGGAATTCCCTGGCGATCCAGTGGTTAGAACTTGGCGCTTTCACTGCAGAGGGCCCTGGTTGGATCCCGCAAACCGCGGGGCGCAGCCAGGGGAAAAAAAGAGAGAGAGAGAGTCTTTCACCTTAAGATTCCGCTCTCTAGTGAGCCAGCGCTAGCCATAAAGGAAGTGGTTTGCAGAGTCGCCTGTGGAAAGGACGTCCCTGGCATTCCTCAGATTCTCTTGTCCCCCAATTTTAGAAGCTTGGCTCTACTCGATGTCTTTTCCCTTAGCAAGGGTTCAACCCATCATATAGCCTAGTGGTTATGAACGGTGGACACTTGAGTCCCCCAACCCTTAGCAGCTTCCTGGTGCCCCTACCTCTCTGTGCCTCAGTTTCCTCATCTGTAAAATGGGGGTGTTAATACCTGCATTACCCACTCCATAGGGTTGTTGTGGGATTAAGTAAATTAATGACATCTAGTGTTCCTAAAACAGGCCTGGCACATAATAAGTACCCAGTATACCTTTAGAATTTATTTTCTTCCCTCCTCCTCCTCTTTCCCTCTTCCCTACTCATGTAGAGCCTGATGTCTTATAGAGATCTGCCTATACAAAGTCCCATACCTATAGGATCCTTGAAAAGTAATCTAAGATTACACTTAAAAGGGCAGATTCACTAAAATGGAAAAGAATCTGATATATATATATATATATATGTGAAATTGAATCATTTTACTGTATACCTGAATCATTATAAAACTATTCTTCAGTAAGAAGAAAAGAAGGAAGGAAGGAAAAGAAGGAAGGAAGAAAAAGAAGGCAGGTTCAGGCATCAGAGAACAAGGGTACAAATCCCAGCCCTGCTTTTTGCTCCCTGTGTAGGCTATGTACCCTTGGACAGGTGACTCAACTTCTCTGAGCCTCAGTTGCCTCATCTCCAAAGTGGGAAGATGAGAACGATCATTCTTTTGGAGAGTTGGAATGTGAATAAAGCAACCATCTAGCATATGATAAGTGACCAGGAAACAGGAGAGTTTCTTGGTGTTCACATCCTTATAAAATTCCCATCTCTTTGAATCAGTCTGTAACACAGCTGGTTGTGACATCTGAGGTCCCAAGGGTCCTCCCTCTTCTCCATTATGAGCTCCCAGAGCAGGGACCTAATGCGGGGGGACCTCTCTCTATTAGGCTCTAATTTATGAGTCGGAGTGTCTCTGTGGTTCTTTCTCTTTGAGTTCCCTATCTCTCTCAAGTTTGTCTCTAGAAAGATCTGTATTCAGTAAGCTTTAAGTCTGATTGCAGATAACAGAAAACTCAAAAGGAAGTATATTTCTCTCTCAAATAGATGTCCAGCCATCAGCAGCCCTGGGCAAGTGTGATGTGAGAGTTTTAGTCTCCTGCATTATGCAGCACTGAATATGGTTTTTATTCCTACATCATAGTCCAGAGTAACTGCTGGAGCTCCAACCATCATGTATCATATCTAGCCATCAGGAAAGAAGGGTCAAGTGTGGGCATGTCCTCCCCCTTTAAACATAATTCTCAGAAGACTCACTTACCTCTGTGCTTGTCTCTGCGCCTCTGAGTTAGTCCTAAGGCCATAGCTGGCTGTGTGATGGATGCTGGGAAATGTAGTTTTACTTGGGGCAATCATGTGCCATCTCAAATTAATGGTTCTGTTACTAAGAAAGAAGGATAAAGTAGATATTGGGAGACAGTGAACTTCTGCCCTGTCATTTCCTGATTGGAAACTCAAAAGCACTTCTCATTAACTCTGTAATTGAAGAGGTTGTCTACATATAAAGTGTATACTATTTAGAGCTGAAAGACAGCCTGTGCTGGGGTAGCCATAGCAGTCCTGAGAGGAAAAATTATAGCCTTCAGTCTATTGATTAAAAAAAGAGAAAGGCTGGAAATAAAGAGCCCAGATTTCAATACAGGATGCTCAAAAAAGAAAAACAGCATTTTGAAAGGAAGGGAATACTGGAGAGAGTCCCTAAGGCTGGATCTGACCCTCCTGCCCTGAGAATGACATAGCCGTGAGAGGGGAGGACAAGAAGGAAGGCTGTAACAGCTTCTGGTGTGTGATAGGGAATCACAGAGCCAGAAGGGGATGCCAGAGGGGGTCAGTCCCCCTGAAGCTCCCATTGGTTACCTCAGATGATGACAAACTTGCTTCCTTCTATGGGCATCTCAGTGGGCATCACACACAAACACAAACACACAAACCTCTAGTGTGTGCCTGTCCCTGCTTTCCTGGTGCGCACAACCTGTTGGGGAGATGGATTCTGTCTTTTCCTCCCCCCTCCTCCTCCCCCTTCCTCTCCTTCCCTTCTTACACCACCTCCTCCTTTTTCTCCTCCTCCTGGCTTCCTCCAGCTTCCTGTCTAGACAGCCCCCAATTAGCTGTTCATTAAGGGGGTTAAACTGATTAGAGCAGTCTCTCCCTTCCTCCGCTGTGACCTCCATGGGCAGCAGGCAGCGCTCAGTTAACTCCCCAGCCCCAGCCTCCATACTCCAGTGCCTTAGAGGAGCAGAGGCCTGGGGGTGGGGGGAGCGGAATCTTGCCAGCCCCTCCAGGACAAGACCAACCCCCCCAGCCCAGGCAAGACCCCCCTGGGGGGTCTTGCAGCCACATCTCTCAGGACCCCTATACCAGCTTCCAGGCCTTTGCACCCTCCATGCCCAGGCCAGGAGTGCCAAGAGTGCCTATTCACGTGGCCACCTCCTCCCCGAGGCCTTCCCTGATTACTCAGCCAAGCCTGGCAAAGAGGGGATCCCAGAGTTCTCTGCTCTTGCTGCTTCTGTGGCCCTTCGCCGGGGGACACAGGCCCTTCACAGGCAGTTATTCTGTTGTGAGGAGGGGGGTTGGCTTACCTCATCCCTTATTTAACTTTGCGGGGGTGGGGGGGCTGAGCATTGCCTGTGGTTACGAATTGGGATTGAGTCCCAGCTCCACCACCTTGTGGCTCCCCAGGGTCTCACAGAGGGTCCTCACCCAGGTCATCTCTGCCCCCAAGGGACACTGGGTGATGTCTGGGACATCTGGTCATCATGACTGGGGGTGGGGGGGGCTCCTGGCTTTGAGTGGGTGGGGCCAGGAAGGCTGCTCCACATCCCACAGAGCCCAGGATGGCCCCACAGAGGGTGACCGGCTGAGATCAGCAGTGCTGGGGAGAGCATCCCACATAGTGAGTGCCCACTGAGCAGTGGCGGTTCCTACCGGAACTGTGCTCCGCCCACCCATCCACTCTGCACACCCGCTGCCCATGCCGTGTCGTGGGCCCTGGAGACTCGAAGGCTCCACCACGGTGGGCTGCAGGGGTATGGACTAGTTTGTGGGTCTCAGATGGGGGAGATGCAGGCCTCCCTGTTAGATGAAGAGTGTGTGCTTCAGTGGGGGACAGACAGGTGGAAAGATGCTGGGGAAGCGGGGCCCCGACTGGCACCTGTCTCCAGATAGGTGCGTATCTTCCACTGGCGGCGTAGGGATGCTCAAGGAGGATGTATAGATAGGTATATTGAACAGAAAGATGGCCGGATGCATCAGGATGGAGAGGTCAAGGGCACACCTGCTAAGTGGAGAGACGCTTACTTTGATGGGGCACCTAGGGGCACAGTGTTAACTGCCACGGTTGCACATGTGGGGCTCTTCCCAGTGTGTTTGTTGGACGAACTAGAGATGTTCAGATGCAGGAGCATCAGATGGGGGTGTGGAACACGAGGGTGACTCTTTCTTGCAATGCGGGTGCCTCCCTGCCCCCACCCCACACCCTGGCTCCTTCAAGCAGGTCTCTGGAAGCTCTAAAAAGGCCTGCGGAGGTGCAGCTGGGGATGGGTACGGGCCGGGCTATTTCCATGCAGGACAGGCTGTTCCAGGAGATCCTAAGTGAGCGTCTGACAGCCTAACCTCATTCTCGCCACAGCCATGCACCAGCCCAGTGCCCACTGCGCATGCAAACATGTGCGTGTGCATACATACACCCTCCGTGACTGCAGGGACATACACACCCTGCCCTGGGTCCTGCCAGCTCCTCCTATCCCTGGGAAAGCCCAGACCTGCTCTCAAGCCCCTACTTCGCTGCCTGGTCCCTCTGGGCTGCCAGCCACATCCCAGGACATGCCACCACCCTCCCCGCGGCCCCCCCCACACACACACAGAGGGTGCACACCCAGAGCCATCAAGGGCAGTGGTCTTTGTAATGGCAAAAGCAGTTGGTGGCCTGAGTGCTCTTAACGGGCCTGACTCTTGGATTGGGCTCACGCCCCCACCCCCACCCCCAGTGGTGCTAATGCAGCTACCAGAAGCGCCCTGTGATGAAATGCCTCAGGGAGGAGGGGAGGGAGGGTGCATCAAGTGTCCCAGATGGGACAGCGCTAGGGACGCATGCAAGTGTCAGCTCACAGAACCATGGCAGGAGACCCCAGAAACAGGGTCCACTTCCTTTATACCATTCTTTCAATCATTGAGGCTGAGCTGGAGACCTTCTGGGTTCCCCCAGGGCATTCAGGGTACGTAGTGAGACCCCTATCTGCAGAGGAATGGAAGCAGGTGATTCCAGCACAGGGGTTTGTGCTGGATCCTAGTCTGACGATTTTACCTGCCGTATCTCATTTAATAGTCACATTGATTCCACAGGGAAGGTTCTGCACCCCCAGTAAGGATGCTGGGGGCACAAGCACAGAGCCGCTCGGACTTTGGGCCAGACCTTCCCCTCTCCCACCCGGCTGCCTTCTCCAGAGCTCTGGCGTCCCCCAGGGAATGAGGGCAGCCCTGAGCTGACCCATGTCTGGAAGAAGAGAAGATGGGGGCCAGGCTTTGTCATCCAGGGGCCCATGGGGCATTAGGCCCCTCATCCCCATGGGCCACATGACCCTGGGTGGCCCCCTTCCCAGCTCTGAACCTCAGTTTGCCCTCTCTACAATGGGTTCCCAGCCTCTCACCCATGAGTGGCTGGAGGAAGGATGGGCACGGGCTCTGCGGGGAGGTCCAAGGGTCCTAGGAGTGGAGAGACCCTGCCTGCAGGCCCTTGACTGTCTGGCTCTCCTCACAGGCATCTCATCCCCAGTGAAGAAAACAGAGATGGACAAGTCTCCTTTCAACAGCCCATCTCCCCAGGACTCACCTCGCCTCTCCAGCTTCACCCAGCACCACCGGCCTGTCATCGCCGTGCACAGTGGTGAGCACTACGGGCCCCAGGCGTGGAGGGGTGGCTGGGCCCTCTTAACAGGCCCCTTGCAGCCAAGGAAGTCCCACCAGTTGTCTGACCACAAGTCCTATTGCTGTATCCTCCCATCCAGCAAGAAAGCCTGCAGGTGCTGTGGCAGAGAGCACCCAGGCCTGACTCTTTGGAGGCTTCAGTTTCCCCTTTGGTATCAAGAGGTGCAGCCAGGGGCTCACCTCTCAACCTGCTCCCCATTTGTCATACTCAAGTGACCCACGGACAGATCCCGGGGCTGGACAGCCACAAAAGAGGCAGACACACAGGACACACACTCGTCACACATGGACTTCCCTGGTGGTGCAGCGGTTAAGACTCCGTGCTTCCACTGCAGGGGGCATGTGTTGATCCCTGGTTGGGGAACTAAAATCCAGATCACGCTGCTTGGTGTGGCAAAAAGATGAAAAACAATTTTTTTAAGTTTAAAAAAAAAAGGCCACACACAGGAATATGGGCGCTCCTGGCCACCCACATGGGCAGCATCACACTCACAGCAGCAGAGACAGACTCTAGCCACCACAGGGCTTGAGCTAAGCCAGTCACCCGTCCATCAGGGCTCCTAAATGTCCCCCTCCCAAGGCTGTCCATAGAACCAAATGAGTTAAATCAGAATAAGTTAAACAGGAACCTGAATGTCATATGTTGTCCCTTGGTTGTGATAATAATGATTTAGTGCCATACAAAGGCAGGTGTGTATACAGGACAGAGGCAAAAGTCAAGATAGCACAGCAATTTAGACTGGGACCCAGCAAAGCAGGGCCCCCAACTGCCACCTGTTCTTGTAAATAAAGTTTTATTGGCGCAGGGCCACACCCAGCCGTGTACTCATCATCTGTGGCAGCTTTCAGGCGACACGGGCAGAGTGGAGTAGCCCTATCAGAGACCCTATGGCCTGGAAAGCCAAAAATATTTACTGTCTGGCCAGAGAGAGAGAATAAAGGGGAGTGACCACTAATAGATACAGGGCTTCTTTTGCGGGGAAAGAAGATATTCTGGAATTAAAACTGTCACTGAACTATTCAGAACAACAACAACAACAAAAGCAAATGCCACACTGGACTATTACTGAGCAATGAAAAGGGGAGAAGCCCTGACACTCGCTACCACATGGATGGACCCTGAGAACACGACACTCAGTGAGAGAAGCAGGCCCAGAGGACACACAGGGTGTGATTCCACTGATGGGAGACGTGCAGAGCAGGCAGATCCATGGCCACAGAGAGTGGGTTCCTGCTTATCAGGGGCTGGGGAAGGAATAGGAGTGTTGCTCATGGGAACAGGGCTTCCTTTGGTGGATATGAGAATATTGTAAAAGAGATTCTAGTGATGGTTGCACAGCTCCGTGAATGTGCTAAAAAAGAAACTGGATGTACACTTTCAGAGGGTGTATTTTATAGTGTGCAAATGATATCTCAATTTTTTTAAAAATTGGCCCACCTTCCATTTATGGAAAGAGCTAGCTGAGCCCTGGGTCAAGATGTGGGCTGTGGGGCCAGTCAGTGTGGGCTCAGACCCCCAGGTCTGCCACCTGCCTACTGTGTGGCTAGAACAGGGGATGGTCCCTCTGAGAGTCACAGTCGTCCTCTATTTAACAAAAGGGACAGCGGAATTTCCTGGTGGTTCAGTGGTTAGGACTCCACACTTACACTGCCGAGGCCTGGGCTCAATCCCTGGTCAGCAAACTAAGATCCCATTAGCTATGCAGCATGGCAAAAATAACAATAAATAAATTTTTTTTAATGAATAAAAATTGTAAAAGGGGTGATTCCAGGTCCCTGTGGGCTCATGGTGGAGATGTAGGCGTAACCCACTTGCATAAACACAGTGACTCTGAGACAGGGCAGCCCAGCGGGAGCCCGGATGACCACTGCCCAACCCCCATCTCTACAGGGATCGCCCGAAGCCCTCACCCGTCCTCAGCCCTGCACTTCCCCACCACCTCCATCCTGCCCCAGACGGCCTCTACCTACTTCCCGCACACGGCCATCCGCTACCCGCCTCACCTCAACCCCCAGGACCCGCTCAAAGATCTCGTCTCGCTGGCCTGTGACCCGGCCAGTCAGCAGCCTGGACCGGTGAGTGTGGGGCGGCGCGACCACCCCGGGGACCCCAGGGCATCGTTTATGAGTGTCAGGCGGCCTTTCCTCCCACCGGGCAGCTTCTGTTTTGCAAACACCTGGGTCTGCAGCCCCTGGAGTCAGACCAGTGGGAACTCAGCCTGTTTCAAATGTCTGAGCGGATGACCCTGAAATCAGACGCAATTACTCCTGAGCTCAGGCTGGCTTTGGCCAAACTTCCACCAAAGCTTTGATGTTCGGAGGCTTTTGGACCTGGGGACTGTGGGCGAGGTGATGGATGAAGGGGTACTCGTGGTGAATGCAGGGAGATGTATCCAGGCCGCCCGTGAGGTCTGGTGGTACTGATCCTGTTTTGGAGGAAGTGGGCACAAAGTGGCTTGAGGAGGCGGCAATGATATGGCCATCCCAGGATGCTGGAGGCCTGCGGAGCCAGGCCAGCCCTGGGCACCCACCAAACTCGTCCCGGCCAGGCCCATCCACAGCCCCGGGGTGGACAGCAGCCCGAGGCGGAGGGGGCACCCGCCGCCTTAACCACCTGTCTCTCTGTTCCCCCCAGTTAAATGGAAGTGGCCAGCTCAAAATGTCCAGTCACTGCCTTTCTGCTCAGATGCTGGCACCCCCGCCCCCCGGGCTGCCGCGGCTGGCGCTCCCCCCTGCCACCAAACCCACCTCCGAGGGAGGAAGCTCGTCGCCAACCTCGCCCTGTAAGCACCCAGGAAGGCGTCCCCAGGGGCCCCTCCCCTCCCCCGCCCCGCTGCTGGGGTCGGGGGCTTAGGCCCACCCGGTGCGTGCCGGCGAGTTTGGTGGGTCCCCAGATGGAGGCCTGGTCCACGCAGGGCCAAGGCAGCCTGAGGAGATGGCTGGGGGCAAGCCTGGGGTCTGCCTCCATTGGCTGAGTGGCCTGGGGCCCCCCCGTGTGCCACCCCACCCCCACTCCCGTACCCAGGCTCCAAACGCTCCTCTGCACAGCAAGCAGTAGGGGAAGATCTCAAACTGGAGGCAGGAGGGCCAGACCCGGCCCCCAGGTGCCTTCTGTCTGTGAAAAAGGGGAATCTGTTATGATGGTTGCTGTTTTAAAGTCAGGACATTTCACGTAAAACTTCCAGATTTCCCCTGGATTCTCGGGGAAAACCGGCTACAGCGGGCTCTGTTCCTAGCTGCCAGTCTGGGCCACACCTTCAGACGGGACAGTCCCCACTTACCCGTCTGTCCCCAGGAGGGCAGGGGTGGCTGCCCCGCCTTCTAAAACTTTCTGCTCTCTAGATGTAGGTCTGGGTGGTAGCCTAGTGGGAGACCCTGGCTGGGCCTCCTAACTTTCCTGAGCTTTCCACTTTCGGGATGTGGCTGGAGAGATGACAGCTCACCAGCCCCCAGTAGCCCCCCGACCCTGGTCCAGGTCTCCCCATCAGCCATGGCTCTGCCCCCAGCCTCCCCCTGAGCCCCATCTTTGTGAAGGTCTCTCTCTCCCTCACTCCCCAAATGAGCTTCCTCACCACCCCCCCAACAGGAGGGGCCAACCCTCCCTCTGGGCCCTATCGGCTCCCTCCCTGCACACAGCACCCCCACCCCTAGAGTTTCTTCCCCAGCATCCACTGCCTGCCAAGACCCGGGGCAGCCTCACAAGTAGACATCTTTCTCCAAACACCAAGATGCAGCACTGGGATGCTGGGCTCCAATCCCACGCTTGAAGCTCCTTCCCTGTGTGACCTTGGGCAACTGTCCTCCCCTCTCTGAGCCTCAGTTTTCTCAGCTGCAAATTGGGACAGTCACCAGGGGCGGTGCGGAGCAAGTCAGTGAAACAGATCAGGGAGAACACTTAGCAGGAGGCAGGCGCAGGGCACAGAGTTGGCATGAGAGGCTGGTCATCACCTCCTCGCCCTACTTCCTCATCTGTGAAGTGGGCAGAATAGTCTTGTCTGCTGTGTTGAGGCCACTGAGTTAACCCTGGAATGCTGCCCACTGCCTGGTATACAGTAGACACATAATAGACGGGGAGTGAATGTGGATTTTTTCTCTTTTGTCTTGTACCAACTTCTCTACCGCAGGTCCAGCCTGCTTTCCCCCTGCAAGCTCCCCAAGCCTCACTGCCTCCCACTTACCCTTGCTCTAGTGGAGAACACACGGGGACCCTTCCTCCACCCACTTCCCCCCAACCCCAGCCTGGATTTTGAATCATTCCCTCACCCGCAAAGCGTGATCAGTGAGATTAAAATACAAAGATGCTGTGTGTGTGCACCCAGCCTTCCCCGAGCCCTCTCCAGGAGGGAAATTAATAAATAAAACGCCCTCAATAATTCATGGCACCCCGCACGGCGGGAGGCAGGCCAGGGGAGCAGGATGGACCAGGCACTGGAACTCTCTGAATAATTCACAGGCGGTTTCTGGATTATGAATCTTTCATCCCGCGCCTTCCCTCCCGGCAGACACCAGCCCGTGCAACCCCAGGGGCCTGAGCCTGTGGGCTTTTCGGGGTGCCCGAACCGTCCGGGGGAGGGCGGCCAGCTCAGAGGCACCGGGTGCTGGGTGCGCAGGCCTGGCTGTCTGACCCTAAGCAGCGGCCACCCTCTCTGGTGCTCCCGCGCTGCCCCCGCGCTAACGGGCTCTCGGTCTCTCTCCTCCTCGCAGCCTACTCTACGCCCGGCACGTCCCCTGCAAACCGTTCCTTTGTGGGATTAGGACCAAGGGATCCAGCGGGCATTTATCAGGCACAGGTAGGGGCCAAGAGGCCGGCTGGCGGGGGTTGGGAGGGGCAGGGCAGAGGGGCCGGCAGGGCATGCAGGGAGCCCTCCCCCAGCTGTACCCCTGGCGTGGCGGCTGCTGAGCATGGCCGGGGGACCCGCCTGCCAGCTCCTTCCAGGGCCTTGAGCCCATACTGGGGGATATGCTGAAGCCCCAAATCCCGCCAGGGGATGTGGGACTGGGCTTGTCACTGCCCTGGTCCTATTTGTACAGATGGGAAGACTGAGGCTCAGAGGAGAGGGGCTTTGCCCAGGATCACACACTGCATCAGCCCGAGCTTTCAGACCCCCAACCTTCATCCCCTCCCATGCCGGCCAGAGGGAGGCAGCGGGTGGCAAGGGATCCCAGGATGCCAGGGGAAGCTGGGGAAGCCAAGGCAACCCATGGCAGGGGGGTGGGGCCTCCCGGTAGAGCATGCAGGCCCCCACCCCAGGCTCCAGCCCGCGAGGTGGGAGGGAGATAGCGAAGGTGGGGTTGGCATCACTGCCCCTGAGAGCACCAGGTTATGGGGACCAGGGCTGGCTGAGGACAAGACAAGGAGGCTCAGAGAGGAGGAGTGAGTCGCCTGAGGCTGCGCAGCACTGCGGGGCCAAACCTCAATGTGTCTGGAACTGAGACCCGTGGCTCCCAGCATCTCTCGAGGCAGGAGGTGGCCTCAGCCCCTCCCTGTGTGTCCCCAGCTCCCACCTTTGGTCTGGCATCCGTATCCGTGTTGTGTGCAGGCCAGGAAGGTGCTGGCAGGTGGTGTTGGACGGTGGTGGCTGTACCCCTGAGCCATGCTCCCTGGTTGGTGCGTGTTGAGGACGGGATCACAGGATGTAAAACGGCTGCTGCAGCCTCCCTGAGTCCCAGACGCACAAAGAAACGTCCTGGGGCTCCGCAGGACCATAGAGCATGGGGATTTGCAGGGTCCCCAGGGGTCACATTCAGATCCTCAAGCCACTGTGAGAGAGTGATCTCTTGCAACAGAGTCCACGGGCAGGGGGCAGGGGTGAGGGCAAGAGGTGGACAGGTAGCCATGTCCCCCTTCCTCCACTGAGATCAGAATTAGCCAGACTGGGGAGGCCCAAAGAACCTTCCGCCATAGCCTGGCCCCCTGGGAACCATTCGAGGCTGCCCTGGCTGTTGCTGGCAGCTCAGGGGCTCCAGAGTTGGGGGGACCTGGCAGTCCCCCTCCCTCCCTTCCCAGACTTTAGCTGGGAGTCCTGGGGTCAGGAGACAAGGGCTTGTGCCCAGCTCTTCTTCACCCACTCTGAACCTCAGTCTCTTCTTCCGGCCTTGGGCACCTCCTGGGGAGTCCTTGAAGGGTCTGGAGCATCAGGGGACCAGTTTGATCCAGAAAGGGCAAGGAAAGGCCAGGACCGCCCCTCGCACACCCAGAATACTAAGTATCCCCCCTCACTGAGCCCTGGCCAGGATCCAGACAGAGGGATCACTTGGTCAGGGTCACCTACTGAGCTGGCGCAGCCCCAGGCCATCCCCCTTCCGATTGGGTTTTGAGTTCTATCCTGGTATGGATACCCCTGCCCCCAGAGTGCTCAGGGAGCCAGGAATTTCCTCTCCCACTCTCACCTGGCAGCCCTCCCCACTGGAGGCTGGGCATGTCCTAATTGCTTCCGAAACCAAAGCTAATAAAAGCAACGGACGGCTGCGGCCTACCTTCTTCACCCTGCCCCGGTCTCCCCCATCCATTGTGTCACCTCCCCTATCATCAGCCTCTGCATGGGGGGAGAGGGGGTCACCCCAAGTGGACAGCCTAGAAGGGGAGGGAAACCAAGGCAGGTGGATGGCGGGAACCTTTGTTTCTCTGTGCTTATGGTCACCCCCTGCTTGGTGAGCAGGCCCTACTGGGGACCAGAGAGGGTGGGACTGGGACTGTGGAGGAACCTGGGGAAGGGGGCATCTGGGCCCCTGCCTGGGAGGGGAGGGGTCGGAGCCTGCTGTCTGACGGAGGATGAGGGTGTCCGGGCAGGGGGCTCAGCGCTGCCAAGGGCTGGAAATAATGGGGAAGCAGCCTGAGCTAGCTGGCAGGCATCGGACGTGGGCTTTGCCCTGGGGGCCCAGGGGAGCCATGGAAGAGGTCGGGGGTGGGGGGTGGGGTGTGCATAGCCAGGGCTGGCAGCCAGAAAGAACTTTGTGGGGCTGGTGTCGGGGGGCAGCGAAGGTGTTGGATGGAGGACCCTTCCAGATTATGTAGGCAGGACCTTGGGTCCCTGGACTAAGAGGACTCCCGACCCCGGCAGACCCCAAAGGGAGGGAAGGGGGAGGAAGGAGCCGCGAGACCCGCTCCCCCCTCTCGGAGCCCCTGTGCTAAGGGCTCAGAGCAGAGAGGCCTCCTCTTTCTGGCACAGTCAGCACTTCCTCCGCCTTCCTTGATCCTGGCGGGTTGGCTCGCCTCTGCACGCGCCCCCCCCCACTTCCGCCCCACCTCCCAGCCTGCATCGGCTTCTCCCATCCCCACTTCTATCTCCTGCCCTCACCCTCATCAGCGCCTGGCCCCCTGATCAATATTCTCTGACCCCAATCAGCGCCCCTCCTCTAATCAATGGCAATTGATCTCTCCCTGATCCATTGCCTACCTTCTTCATCTCCCCACCCCCATCTCTCACCATCCCACCCCTTTGCCGCAGTCCTGAGCCAGCCGTCACTTTGGCCTCCAGAGTAGGGCTCTGTGGGGTCTGACACCTCCACCCCCCCCTCCTGTGTGAAGGGGTGGGTCCACCTGGCCTAGCATTTTCCCCCAGTCCTCTGCCCATCACACCTGGTCAGCAGATGAGCAGAGGGCCTGAGTGGTTAAGCCATGTGCCCAGAACCACAGTGGGGGCTCCAGCCAGGCCAGGGGGTGACAGAGCCCAGACCTCACTGTTGGCACTGTGCGGCCTCAGTCTCCCCCTCAGCTGATGGGGGAGGATGTTGAGTTGAGGGTGCCTCCCCCCACCCTACCATTACGGGGGCCAGAGTCGGGCAGAGAGCTTAGGCGGGGAGGAGGCAGGGAGGAAGGGCCTGGGGAGGCTGGCCACCACAGGGGAGGGTCACGCCCAGAATGTGTCTGGTTGCCAACGGAAACCAGACATGAGGTAATGGCCAAGATGAACTTGAACTTGGCTGGAGGTGGGGGGCTGGGAGCCACGGCGCCAGTTCGATAGGATGGCCCAGCGGCTGCAGGCGGCCTGGTGGGATTGATCACCCGGTTGGAGTGTGACTGGTTTACAGCAGGCGTGGGGGCACAGCGCTGCTGTGACCTCAGTGGCATGGCTCCCGGGGGCTCCCTACCCCAGTCCCACTCCCCAGGTGGACTGGACGCAATTCCAGGGGAAGGGACTGTAATCGGCTTCCCTGTGGGGACCTAGGCCAGAGCTGTCCCTATAGACCTGGCCGCCTGACCCCACGCCTCTGTCTCCCCCTCTGTAAAGTGGGAGTCATGACCCCCTCAAAGGCCAGGCTAAGGGGTCAGCCCCAGGCAGGGGGACAAACAAGTAGCTTCTCAGGCCATAGCTCAGATGCTGTCTTCTTCCCTCAAACGCTGGTGGACTTAAGCAAGTTACTTTACCTCTCTGAGCCCCTGTCTTCTTCACTGCAAAACGGGGTCTGGGGGCAGTAGTCCCTCTTTCATGAGGGTTCTGGGGGAACCATTAAATGGGAAAATGTTAAAAGTAAAGAAGAAACAAACAACCCCAGTCACAGCGCCTGGGCACGGTGCCTGTCTGTAAAGATTCACCAGTGGTTCTCCTCCGACTAGTGAGAGTATCCCCTCCTGCATTTATACTCAGGGCTGGAGGTGGGGTTGCCAGATTTAGCAAACAAAACCACAATTCCAGATAAAGAATTTTCTAAAAAAAAATTTTAAAGCACACGTATATCCCAAAAGTTGTATGGGATATACACTAAAAGGTTTATCCAGGATTCAGGTGTAACTGAACTCCCTGAGTTTTATCCAGCAGCCCTGCTTAGGGGCCCAGTCACTTGCCCAGGGTCACCTAGCAGATTACCTAAGTCTGGGACAGAGGTCACAGGTTCCAGGGGTCGAGGGGGCTGCAGTGGGTATAGGCTGTGGCCCACGGAGTCTGACCCCCGTCTCTCTGTCTCTCTCTCTCTGTCTCCCTCCGGCCGCCCAGTCCTGGTATCTGGGATAAGAAAGATTTCCTCCCACGCCCTGCTCCTTCGTCCCAGGAATCCCAGGGGGCCGCAGAGCCGGCCCCCGGCCCACATTTTCGGTGGAAAGCTACAGCAAGCAAGAACACCCCGCCGCCGACTCCCAGCCCGGCCGAAAGACAAAATCACACAGACACATAAACACAGGAGGAAGAAAAAGAAAAAAAAAAAAACGGGAAAAAAAAAAAGACAAACGGGGGAAAAAATTACAATACATAAAAATAAACCCACCCAACCAAGAAGATAAACAGTAAAGATGACAACGCTTCGGACTCTCGGGACACCACGGCCGGACAGACCGGACGCTCGGGATCGTCCTAAGTTATTCATCTCCTCTCGCTGCTGCTGCTGCTGGTCAGGGAGGCCCAGCCACCCCCGCCTCCTCCCAGGACCAGGTGAGCACAGCCTGGAGCCCACGCCAGGCCCACGGGGCAGGACACCCAGTGAGGCCACCTCTCCACCCACGTGCCCACCGCCACCTCCGGGACAGTGGTTTGCCAGGTTGGGGAGGCAGGCCCTGGGGGGCCAGCAAGGACCCCAGCAGCAGGCAGTGGAGGTGGCTGGGTGGGCAGGGGGCGACGGGGCCAGAAGAGGGTGGCAGGGAGACCCCGGCAAGGCCAGGGCACTAGGACATATGGCGGATACTCGGCGAAGGAGCATCCAGCAGGCGTGGACCTCTACCTGCTCTTTCGTGCGAAGCCCCTCCGCATCCGCCGGGTTTGGGAGACGTCTCTATGCAAATGACCCCCAGCCCCACCCCAGGCATAGGAGGCCACCCCAGCGCACCCCAGCCCCCACCACCGGCTACACACCCCCCCACCCACCCTGGGAGGGCCCCACGTTGCACACACTGTAAGAAATGCACTTTCCAAGGAAGGGGCTGGGGGCAGTGGAGCGGAGGGGCCTGAGGGCTGCTCTGGTCTCTCTATCCACCCAACCCTTGAACTGGGGAGGACCCCCCCACTTTAGCCCGTGGAGGTGGGAGGTGAGAGCGAGTGGTTTAAGTGCCTGATTTCCACCGCCCGCCCCCCTCCCCTGTGTCCAGCTGGGACGTGAGTGGCCGTGGGCCTCCCCTCTCCCTCCTCTCCCGCAACCTGGCCCCTTCCAGTTGCTGACCCCTCATTGCTATGCCCCCATCAGAGCTAGAGAGATGGAACCCCCGCCCCCAGCGGGTCCAAGGGGCAGAGCTGGGCCTCCTCCCGGCATCCTGCCCCGCTGGGGTAGGGGGGCTGGGGTCTTGAGAAGCCGGTGTGCCCCTCCGCCCCTACGCCTCCTCTGCCAGTGCCTTACATCCTGGAGCGACAGCCCCTCCCTGGTGCCTCCCGGCCCAAAGGGGGACCACGGTTTGCACTTTCATCCCCCACCCCCTGCCGAAGTGGGGCACAGCCAGGAGGCGTCGCCTCTGGGTGGCCAGAAGGAGAGGGGCCAGGCCGCCTGAGGTCCAGAACAGGGCTGGGGGCTCCAGCTGGGGGCGGGGAGGTCGGCGCCTTGGGGCTCCCTGCTGCCATGTAGGGGGGCCTCCCATCTGCTGAACATTTTCCGTTGAGCCGCTCCAAAAACACTAAAGCTGGGGACACGGGGTGCCTTTGCCCCGGCTTCCCGGTCCATCCATGCTCCTCCCCGGGATGGCCATCTTGGGAAGGGGGGCCTGGGAAGGGGTGCTAGGTGTTCTGGGGTCACCAGGCCCAAACACAAAGACCCCTTCCGGCCCATCAGTCTGAATCCCAACTGGTCTCCGTGCCTGGCGCTGGGGAATGCCGACCCCCATCCCCGGCCTAGGCCAAAGCCATGGCCCTGGGAGGGCCTCCGCTCACTGCTCCCAGCCTGACCCACCTCTCCCTCTCCTGGTAAACCCCCGGTGTGCCCCGGGCCTGGCCAGCCTCCTCCCACCTCCCCAGACACCGGACTTTCCTCCCAAACCAGCCCAAGGGGCTTGGCGAACCCACTCGATCATAAAGAGAAAGACAGCCCCTACACACAAGACCCTTCCCCACCAGCTGCACTCCCACTGTCCGGAGGGGTTCGAGAACCCTTGGTCCGTCCGTCTGTCCCCGGGGCCCCTGCAGCAGGTGGCCACTGGAGACAAAAGCGTGGGCCGCTCTGGGGGAGGGCAGGAGGGGTGGGTTGTGCAGTTGGGGTATCCGGAAGCTTGTCAGCCGGGAACCTGAGGGTGCGGGTAGGCAGGGAAGGGGAAGGGGCACCCGGCAGCCCCCAGCTTCCTAACTTTGCATGGTGCTTAGTCGAGGATTTCTGTGACCTGGCTCCTGACTTCAGCTCGCGGCGGCTGAAACTGCATGGCAATTGATACTGGCTCTATCTCCCTCCCCACGCCACCCCCCACTCCAGCCCTCCACCACCACCCTCCTCCTCTTTAAAAGAAAACAAAAAAAGATACAGAAAAAAAAAAAAACCCTTAAAAAAATTCCATGTTTCCTAATTTGCACGAAATTTTCTATCACATGATGTGCCTTGCCTTCCGAGAATAAGTATTACCTTTAAACAATATCAGCGCACACAGATAGCTGCATGCACTGCTCGTGTAGTTTAAAAGAAAAAAAGACAAAACAATGACATGAAATAAAAAGTAAAAATTGAAAAGGGATGTATTTCTATTTGTAAAAAAAAAAAATTAAGAATTAAAAAAAAATCACACACTTAAAAATCACATTGCTTAAAGGAAAAAAAGCAATGCACGCAACAATCACCCCACAGTTTGCCCTGCCCCCAGCCTGCCCTGGGCTCTTGTCTCCCCATCTCCTGCTGCATTGGGGGTGCCCCCTGGTGCTCTGCAACCCCCCCGGCCCCATCCTCGGGCTCCAGAGGGGTCATTTCGCATCCCCTGCCCACAGCAGCGGACAGACCTCAGGGGTGTGCCCTGGCCCCAGGCAAGGGCTTCTCCCCTCACTGGGCCACAGGCCAGCCCCCCCCAGACGCCGTGCATGCACCTACGCGTTCTCACCCCCCTACCCTGGGGCGGCCACCCTGCTGACAGCCAGACTCCCCCCGCCACCTCTCCCACAGGCTGGCATCCCCCTGGCTCAGGGTCGCATCGCTGTCTCACTACCCCATGCAGCCCCCTCCTTCTTGCCAAAGGACCCATCCCCATGGACTGGCCTTGGGGTGGCAGGAAGGACCCTCCTGTCACCCCCACCCCCACCCCCCCAGTTCTACTACGTCTTCCAGCTGTGACTGCAGAGGGGGTCTGGTGTGAAACAAAAAGACAAAACCAAACCCGATATATGCAATATTTGTCTGTCTGTACCTGTAAGGTCTAGCTCAGCCATGGAGGCCCGGCCGGGGGGTTGGGGGCAGGGACGGCTGGGGGCACCGCGTCACAGGCCCCGTCCAAGGGGCCGGCCATTGCTGTTGTCTTTTCTTCGGTTTTATTTTCTCTTGTTTTCCTTTCTGCCTTCTTTTTCTTTCTCTCTTTCCTTTTTTTTTTTTCCTCCAATTTTCTCTGCCTTTAACTCTACCAAAGCCGAGACAGTAGCAGTCAGTGAAGTGTCCAGGCAAGGACCCCGCGGCTGGGTCCACCAACCTTGGGCCCATCCCTCCTCGCCGTCTCTGGCCCTCCCGGTCCCCGGGCCCCTCGAACATCTGTCGGCATGTGCTAGGCGGGCAGTCCCCATTCACTCCCCACCACCACCTTGGATGTTAGAATTGTCTCCAGAGCTGGGTGGGGCCTTGCAGCCAGACCCTGGCTCTCATCTACCACTCTGCTCATGCCATGTTTTCTTCCGAAAAAGACCCCTCAGCCAGCCCCAGGGCCAGAGGGAGAGACCAGGCCCCGGCCTTGACCACGCCCTTGAGCGGCCCTTTGGCCCAAGAGCCCAAGGCCCTGCTTGTCAGGCTCCATCAGGCCCATTTCTGGCTTTCATCCCCCTCCCCACCCCACCACCAGGGAAGTGGGAACAGCCAGTGGCATGGGGAGTGGGTGGCATGTCCCTGTAGGACCCCTCCTCCATAGGCTCACCTCGGACCACGGTGTCCCTCATGACTGCACCCCACAGCACCCCGGGCTCAGGGCCCCTCCCTTCCTTGCCTGCTGTGTGTCAGAATAAGGCAGAAACACCAGGGACCAGGCTCCCACCTGCCAATGCGGTTGGGGTTCATGCCCTGGGAGGGGGGAGGGCAGGGTGTTTACTTTTGTTTTTTGTATTTTTTTGACACTTATGAAACTGACATCTCAAACCCCATCCCCTCCCAAGCCCACGGTCACCCTCTCACTCATAGCCCGTCCCATGCAGAGTCTTCAGCCTGACCTTGGGGGTCTGGAGCTTGCTGTGGAAAAGACTTAGGGAGACCTCCCCAATATATGCAAATCACCTCCATCCTTCTCTTTGGAGGGAGGTAGCAGATTCGACCAGGGTGGAGAGGGAGGTGTGGAGAGGCAAGCCGACCCCACCCTATCTGACCTGGGGAGGGAGGCTGGGTCCGGGGTCCCCAGTGCCCACGTCTGGGACCCACATTCTGGCAGGGTTATGAGCCCAGATTCCCACCCTGAGCTAGACAATCAGACCGGAAGGAAACCCCAAGGGAGGCTGCGGGGAGGGGGCCCTGCTGCAGCTCCCCAAGCAGCAGACAGTTTCAGCCTCAGCACCCCCACCGCCACCCCACCCCCAGCTCTGGAACTTTCCCTCTGTCCCGGGAGACAGCAGCGTTCCAGGAGCAAGCAGATTTGGCTGGACAGCTACCAGTGAGGCAGGATCCCGGGGCCAGGAGCAGCCATCCAGCCCTCTGGGAGAGACGGGACCCCAGCCACCCACTCCCTCTGGCTTCTCTGATGGTACTTTGACCTCCAGTGTAGGGCTATACTATACATTATATATATATGTATAATTTTGGAATTTTTTTCTCATAATACAGATTATACAGTGGCTACTTTTTATTTTGGCCTGGAGTCTCTCTCTCTCTGAGACCCCTGATTTTTACTTTGTGTGTGTGTGGGGGGGTGGGTTAGGGAGGATGATGGGAGAGAGGTTCCAGAGACATGTCTTCAGGTCCTACATCTCCTGCATCCTTCCATCTTTCTGCCCCTTCGGACACCTCCTGAGAGCCCCATCTCCAAACTGACACCGCCTCCCCCCATCGATCTATCCCTAAGCATTTCAGAGTGTGTGGGGTCCGAGCTGGCCCCGGAGGCCCACCCCCACCCCACCCCGCTCCCCAGGCGAAGCAAGGAGACCCCAAGCAATCCCAGCAGGACTTGTTGCCAGCGATACCAAAACAGACTTCCCAAGCAGTGCCTCACACGTCTGCTGGTGTAGCTTTGAGGTCGTCCTTCCTGACTCCCAGGGGGTCCCTCAGGCCTCAGGAAAGAGGAGGCGGGATCCAACAGGAATGTGGGCTCCAGGAGAGGAAGACCCACTCCCCCCCAAACTCCTGCCCTTAACACCACCTGGCTAGAAGGAGACCCACTGGAAAGGGGCCAGGAGCTACCCAGCCCCCCTCCGGTTGTGAGCCCCCAAAGCTCACTCCCTAAATGCATCAACACCCCCGCCTCCCATCTTGGATCCCAGCCAGGCCCCCTGAAACCAAAGCCCCTTCCAGTCCAGGGGTCCTGGCCCCTACCCCCAACTTCTCACCCTCTGACCCTTGCCAGGGCCACACGTGGGGGGTGGGAGGGCAAGACAGCAGGGTGTCTGAGGGACAGAACACGTGTTGTCGGGGGGGAGGCAACAGGGAGAAAGGAGGGAAACTTGTTTTCTCTCTAAATTTCTTTCTTTCTCATTTTTTTCTCTCACATTTTTTGGTGGTGTTGCTGTTTCATTTCCTGTCGCCTCTGAGATATTTTTTGAGAGTTTTTGCCCCCATTTTGTATTTTACCAATATTACCAGGATAGTTTACTCTGTTTCTTGCTTTCTGCTTGCCACACATACCGGATCTCTCTCTCTCTCTCTCTGTCACACACACACACACACACACACACTGTCACACACACACACTGTCACACACACACACACACACACTGTCACACACACACACACACACACCCACACACACACACACCCACACCCACCCACCATGCTCATGAACCTATGTCAGGAGAAGGTTGGTGCCAGGCCAGCCCACTGCCCATCTCCTCCCCAAGGCAGGGATGGGGGACAAGGAGCCGGACATCCGAGCAGACCTAGGCCCAGCCTTCTTCTTGCCTGTCTCCCCTGCCCCGTGCCCCCACATCATACTCCTTTCATAACCTTGTATATTACGCAGTCGTTTCAGTTTCCGCGGACGCGCCTACCTAAGTACCATTTACAGAAAGTGACTCTGGCTGTTATTATTTTGTTTGTTTGTTTCCCTATGCAAAAAAAAAAAAAAATGAAAAAAATGAAAAAAAAATGAAAAAGGGGGGGTTCCATAAAAGATTCAATAAAAGGCAAAAAAAAAAAGAAAAAAGAAAAAATGTATAAAAATTAAACAAGCTACGCTTCGACTCTTTCTAGCTGTCTTGGGTCCTCCTTTCTGTGTTGCGTTCGGGCTGTTCCAGATTCTTGTCAAAGTGCAGGGAAGAGGCTGGAGGGGCAGGTAGCCTCAGAAAACCAGTCTTGGAATTCCTCAGAGCCTTTGATCAACAAGTTCCATGGGTATCTATGGAGCACCTGCTCTGTGCCAGCTCAGGTAATTCCACCTCCTGCCTGGCTTCAGGGACAAAGCCTGGCACACAGTCAGTGTTCCATAAATGTACAGACTGCCTTCCTTCCTTGTTTTCCCCCCACCTCGCAAAACCCCATTCATTCAGCAAAGATTCCCTGAGTATCTTTTGGGTACCTAGCCCTTGGGACACAGTGGAGAACAAAATGCCCTAAATGAGCTGCCTTCGTGGCACAGTTCAAAGTTGGGAAAACAGAAAATAAACAATAAAAATAAATGTATGTCAGAGGAGATAAATGCCAGGGAGACAAATAGAGCAGAGTACAGGATAGGAGAGTCGGCCTCATGTGAGGAAGTAACCTTTCAACAGGAGTTTGAATGGAGAGAAGAAACAGCCCCCTGACAATCTGACAGAAGAGTTTTCCAGGCAAAAGGCACACAGCGTGCAAAGGCCCTGGGGCAGGGCTGTGCTGGGTGTGTTGGGGGAACTGTGAGGAGGCCAGTGTGGCTTGAGCGGAGTGAGGGAGGGGGAGAGGGAGGGGGGGCAGGGGTTTGTGGGCCACAGGAGGACTTGGGACTTTTAGCCCCAGAGAGGTGGGAGCCCTGGCGGGCTGTGGGCAGAGGAGGGGACAGGGCTTGGCTTGGTTCCTGTATGCTCACCTCCAGGAGGCCCTACCCACCTGCCTAGGTGGGGCCCATGCTTGCCCTCCCAGCACCTCAGCATCCCTGTCTCTCCCACCCCACCCCTGGCCACTCAGAACCATTCATGTCCAGCTCTCCCCAAAGCCACAGGGGGGTGGGGGGCACGGAAATATCATGCCTATCGAAGTGGCTCCGTTGTGTCCAACTGCGACCCCGTGGACTGTAGCCCACCAGGCTCCTCTGTCCATGGGACTCTCCAAGCAAGAATAATGGAGTGGGTAAGCCATTCCCTTCTCCAGGGGATCTTCCCAACCCAGGGATTGAACCTGGTCTCCCGCATTGCGGGTGGACTCTTTACCATCTGAGCCACCAGGGGCGCTCATTATGCCTGTGAGGGGTAGTCACTCCCCCTTCTTGGCGGGGAGGTCCTCCATCCTATCCCCCAGCAGTCCCCCAGAGACCCCAAGACATGTAATCAAAGCTCCCCGGCTGCCCAGTCTCCTTCCATCTTACCCACACGCCATCCCGCACTCCGTGGAGGGGCTTTTCACTGACGGGGAAACTGAGGCACAGAAAGACGGCAAGATGAGCGGAGAGGGACCCAGATAGGATGCGCCGACGCGGACAACCCAGGAACGCAGCCCACCCCGCCGCCCAGTAACAGGCGCAGAAGACACAGGCGTGAGGCAGGGATGACGGATCCCAGGACCCCCGGGTGGACGCGCACCCTTCCCATGCCCATGCAGCATTCCCAAAAAGGATGGTCGCTTCTGCGCTCAGCGAAGAGGTTCTGGCGCCCCCTTGTGGTCAGACCTAGGACTTTGATCCGGAAACCAGGTCCCGGGCGGAGGAGTCAGCTGACCCCGAACCCCACAGTCCCGCTTGGGAGGGAGGGGAGGCGGTGACCTAGAAGGAGCTTCTTTTGCGGGATGGGGCTCTCATCTCTGGTGAGGGGCTGAACTTGGTGGGGGTTCAGCTGGGATGGAGGGTTCAGCCGGAGCCTGCAGGTTCATCCCAGGGTCGAGGCTCAGCCGGGGTGGGGGAGCTCAATCTGGCCTTTAATCTCAAGGAGAGCCGAGTCTTTTTCATCCATTGGCCCCTGGGGTAAAACAATTTGGGGGCTTTGAAAGGGCTGTCCCAACACTGGCTCCCCACTAAATTCCAAAAAAGGGGCACGCTTGCGACAACCAAAAACCGCCCCCGAAATGCCCCCTGACGCCTCCTGGTAGGGAAGTCCCGCCCCTGCGGAAAGGGAGGAGCCCAGACCGCCTCGCTTCTCGGCTTCCCGCCCCACCCTCCGCACGGCCACCCACGCGGAAGCCCCGGGCCTCGCACGGAGGAAACTGGGGGACTGAAAACTGCGCTCCCAGAACTGTCGTCTGAAAACACGCTCTCTGACCTTCAGGATCCCCCAAGTCTGAGGCGGCAGGCTCATTTGTCCCCACCCCCATCCTCACCATATCAGCATACAGAAAGCTGATGTTTGTTGGATGCCTTTAGGGTGCTGGGCCCAGCGCTCCGGAGTTTTGTAGACAGTATTTCAGTCAGTTCCTCATGACAACTTAAGAAGAATTTATTCTTTCCTTTTACAGAACTAGGCTCTTGGGCACAGAGAGGTTAAGTTACTTGCTCCGGGATACACAGCAAAGGAGTGGGGACTCCAGCCCCTTCTCTATGGAGCCTCCACACCAGGAGTGCAGGACAGGAAGAGGGAGTAATGATCCTGTGTCGCCCACCCACTCCCACCCCTGCACCCTCATCCCACCCCCTGGGAGTGCTAGCGTGCAGGACAAAGTGCTGAAACTCAGCACATGGTAGAAGTCCTCATCTCCCAGAAACAGCCCTGCGCTCTGAGTCAGCTCAAAGTTCATGTTCAGGGACAGCAAACAGCAGCCAGGAGAGGGACTGGGACTCTTGTAAGCTCTTGGAAGAGCTTACACCTGGGCAACAGGAGGACCTGCCTTCTCCGATGAAATCCAAAAGCTGACAGAAATTGGGAGGTGGGGAAAGAAATCAGGCGCTGGGTAAAAAGATGCCTGCGATGGACTGGGTTAAGAGACATGAGACAGTGGGGGGGGGGGGGGNCCTTCTCCAGGGGTGCCCTCCAAGCTCAAGAAGAATCATCAGGTGGAGACCAAGCTTGGGAAGGGGTACAGAACCACTAGGTAACACACAGAGAGCCCTCTGAGAGGGATTTGGGGCAGGTTCTGAGACCTCTGAATCCCAGAGAGTCATCTTACTGGCCTCAAGACCATGTCCTTTGCTGACAGGGTGTGGAGAAGGCATTGGGGCATCCCTGGAGGACTGCCTGGAGGAGATAAGTGGGAAGACTTCATGTGGAGGAACTTGCCGTTGCTTCATGGTTCGGAGGCCCCTCTGTCTCCTCCAGTTCCAGCCCCCAGTCGTCGTCTCCCTTTTCCTTTCTCACAGTCTCCTCTTCCTTCTCTTCACTGCTGTGGAGACCAGAAGAGCCCAGATAATCCGAGTTAATAAGGACAGACAGTGCTCCAGGCCTCTGACGATTCTCCCAGCTCTGAGTCCTGCAGGCACCCTTACTGTTCCCATGACACAGAGGGGGACAAGACTCAGGCAGCTTAGGACACTGGCCCTGTTAGAACATGAAGGAAGTTCAGGAGCACCAACTGTCTGAGCCAAAACTGAGCTCTTAATTTCTGGCCTCTTTGACTTCCTGGGTTTCAGAACTGCGGGTGAGTAGACAGGCAGAGAGATGAAGGGCTGGACCGACGGATGAGTGGATGGATTAATGAGTGTGTGGACAGATGAACGAATGGACCCATGGATGGGTGGTGGGAAGGTGGGTGGATGGATGGATGGACAGATAAGAGGGATGGATGATGGAGGGAGGGAAGGAGAGAGAAAAGGTGGGAGACAGGTCAGGAGGGATGATGGGTGGATGATGGACAGGTGGATGGGTAAATGGATGCTGTTGGCATAGGGATGATACTTTATAGACCCCCCCTATTGAAACACATCCTAGGGATGGGGGAATCTCTGTGAGGAAGCCACCCTCGTTTTGCAGGTAGGTAGTCAGGAGAGAAGTCAGTGAGGTCCTGTGAGGCCCCCGTGGGGACCTCTCAGAATCAGAGAATTACCCCGCTGGTCCTGCCCTGTCTTGAAGGACGCTCGGAGAGGGAAGGGGCTCCCAGAGGGGAGGGGCTTGGCGCGGGGAGGGTCTTAGAGGGGCAGGACTCAGAGAGGGGAGGGGCTCGGTAGGGGAGGAGCTTAGAGGGGAGGGACTAAGAAAGGGGCGGAGCTGAGATGCTAAAGAGTTAGCGATGGGGAGGGGCTCAGAAGGATGAGAACCCACCTGTCCTGGGACTCCCGGCACCAGACGGCATAGACCAAGGTGAGGACAAAGATGAGGAAGAGCAAGGCCAGCGCAGCCCCTAGCCCCACCAGCCACGACTTCCGCTGGGCCACTGCGGGCGGGGGCAGGGCTGGGTCAGAGTCGGGGCCCCAGGATGGGGCTGTCTTCCCTACCCCACCCCCACTCCCTCCCAAGGCCTTACGGGGTTGGGCCTGCACCAGCCTTGGGACCAGAGCTGCGAGAAGAGAGAGTTGACCGGGGGTCTTCCAGAATCTGCCCATCCTGCGCCCTCTGTCCTCGCCCCTACCAGCAGATTCTGGGGTTGCAGCCCCGGCGGGAGAAGGAAGTGGCCTGCCCAGCGCAACCCAGGGCAGGGTGTGGCCGGGGCCCCAGGAAGTAAGAGGTGGGGTCCCCTCCCTGAGTTCCGGGCACCATGGGGAGGGGCTCAGGGTCCTGAGCTTCCGAGTCCCTGTCTCCCTGAGGCCCATCCTGACCCTCACTTTCCACGGTCAGAGCCACGGTAGGGGCGGCTCGAGAAAGGTGGGGAACCAGGCATCGCATTGGCTCTGAAGTCCCAGCACCTCCATCAAGTCTCAAACTCTGGTGGTCAGAACTCTTGTCCTCACACGGCAAAAGAGGAGCCAACTCGAGGCTCAGAGAAGTCAGGCCAATTCCCTGGGGCCACACAGCATCCCAGAGGAACACAGTTTTCCCAGCTAGGAACACCCCCTACCCCAACCCTCTCCCATTCTAGGACATGAACCTCCAAATCTGACCTTAGCCAGCCCCTGCATGTGCCCGTCCTCTGGGCAGCCTAGGCTTCATTCCCAGCACTGCCAACAACAACCAGGGAGACCTGGGCTGGTGGCTTCCTTCTTTCTAAGTCTCAGTATTTTCATCTGGAAAATGGGACGAATTGCAAACCGACAAGAGACTGACAAGGATGCTAGGCGTTCAGAGGAAGCATCTTCTAGGGAGATTATATATTTTTATTTACGACTTTTCTGCCCCCTGGTGGCCGATCCTGGGATAGTCTCAGAAGCTCCCCGCCTTCTGGGCTACCGCCCCAGCTACTGGCTCCACAAGGGAGCCTTCTCGCGTGCTCCGCAACAAGAGAAGCCAACGCAATGAGAAGCCTGCACAACAAGAGAGTACTGTTGTGGCCCCGCTGGCCACAACTAGAGAAAACCCCGCGCAGCAGCGGAGACCCAGCACAGCCAGTAAATAAATAAAATGATAAACGCCAGCCTTTATCAAAGTTCTCATTAGGAAATGGTTAACATCAAGGGCAAGGTCCAGGGCCTGAAGAAAGTGAGGAGAGCAGGGGAGGCTTGTCCCCTCCCAAGATGGTGCGCCCAGGGTCACCCCACCCGTCAAGACCCTGTGCCTGGAAATGGAGTCACATGAGCCAAAAACCCAGGGGTGGGGGGAGCAAGGCTTTTCCAGGAGACAGCTCTCAGGGCTCAAAGTTCAGGGTTCAGGACGGCAGGATCAAGATTGCAAAGGGAGCGTCTGATCTGCCCAGCACCTGGGCACGGTGGAGTTTGGTCTCCCACAGCTGCCCGGGCGTTGCTCCCAGCCCCCAAAGCTGTCTCCTCCCTGGGGAAACTGAGTCCCAGCGGACAACGGAAGCCCTTCTGAAAGGCTCTCCCCCGAGGGGCAGCCCCTGGCCTATACTGGTCCTGAAGCTGAACGGGAGGGAGGAAGTTTTGGTCAATAGATGTCAGGCAGTGGGGAGAAGCAGGTGGAGCGATGAGAGTGTGTGGGTTGGGAGTTTCTCAGGAACCAGGGATGGTCTCCAAGTGCAAGAAGAATCACCAGGCATAACAAATCATAACAGTATAGACTGCATAACACACAAAGGGTCCTCCTTGGTTGGGGGTGGGTAGGGTTCCAAGCCTCTTCATTCAGGGTGCTGTACTCAACCCCAGATGGAGTCACTGCAGTGGCTTCAGGTTTAGTTCATTGTGTCTAGGGTGTGGAAGGGGCACTTCTGGCGGGTTGCTTAGAGGAGGCGACTGAATCTTCACATGGCCGTGTTCTTGACTTCCTCATAGTCCCTGCACTCCTCATTTTCCTCTAGCTCCAGCCCGAAGTTTCTCTTTCCTTTCTTCTTGGCCTTTTTCCCCTTCCCAGCTTTTTTCTCTTCGGCCTTTTCCTCCTTCTCTTTCTTCCCCTCCTTGTCTTCTTTTCTGTAGGGACACAAAGACCTCAAACCATGGTAACAAAACATTCCCAGTTAACAGACCCTCACCTGTACCAGGCCTTATGATGAATGCTTTACAAAAAGTCTTTGCTGAATCTTCAAAATAGCCCTTACAAGGTAGCCTCGTGATTTCCATTTCACAAAGGCAGAAACTAAGATTCAGTTGTTCATTGGAAGAATGGATGGATGGATGATGTATAGATGGGACAATGGATGGGTGGATGGGGAAATGGATGGATGGGAGAATGGATGAATGGATAGATGGATGGGTGAATGGATAGATGGGTAGGTGGATGAATGGATGGATGGATGGATGGATGGAAGGATGGGAGGATTTGTGGGTGGGAGTATAAATGGATGGATGGGGAAGGAATAAATCCGGCAGGGAACAAACTATGAATTAGGAGCACTTATTGGACCCGGAGCCTCCAGCACATCCTGAGAGCAGGAATCACACTTTCCTGGGGCTGAGCTGGGTCTAAACAAAGCATAGTCCAGCCCAGACCCCTCCCTCAGGCATCTTGGGCTCAGCTGAGAGTCTTCCAGCCAGGATATTCTCCTCCCAGCTCCCAGCTCCTACTCCTGTCCCCAGACCTTTGCCCAAGTTGGGGTGCTTGCTCCGTAAGAGCCCCCAGCCCTGCCCACATCCCTCAGCTCTCATCAGAGTCACATCTGGAAACAGGATCATGGGAGACGCTGAATCCAGGAGAGTCACCCACACCAAATCACATGCTTGCACACAGTCCCTGCACTATCCCACACCACCATCTTGTTCAACAGGTATTTAGTAAGTGCCTACTGCATGCCAGGCCCTGGGAAAGGCCCTGGGGACACAGCCTGGACCAAAGCTAAGTTCTGTTCACGTACTGGAAACCAAAATCTAGTGTCAAGAAACCGGTAAATGACTTAGATAATTTCAGTTGGCAATACATGCAAAGAAAGATGCAGGGCTGTGTCAGAGAGAGTGTCAGAAACGTTGTTGGTCAGGTTGGGCTTCTGTGGAGAGGAAACATTTAAGCAGGGGCTGGAGGAGAGACAGAGCCAGCCAGAAAATATGGGCAAATGTGTAAAAATCAAAACAAACAGTAGGTGCAAAGGCCCTGGGGCCAGAGTGCGCTTGAGGTGTTCAAGGACAGAAAGAGGTCATCAGTGCACACCCACCCCTCCTCTCCCTGAGAGGGACTTCACGCAGACCTGCTAACCGTACACACACACATGCCCACACAGCAGTACCTCAGATCCACCTCCTCATATGGATTGGGATTCTTCCTGAATGTGGGCTTCTCTTCATCCTCAGCTCTGCAGAAGAGATGGGAGTCAGAGGGGTGGTGATGGATAAAGGGCAGGAAGTGGAGGCAGCCTCAGTCTCCTCCAGATTAAAGGAACTCCAGGAAGCAAGAGCTGGCAGGGGGAACTGCATGACTGTCCTGGGCTGTGGGTGCAGGGGGAGCAGGGAAATAGGGAGACAAGGATAGGGGCCAGAGAGGGTCATGAAGTGGGAGGAGGTGCCCAGCACTTTGGGGATATGGAGGAGAAGGGGTGAGGAACGGGGTTCCCACCTTGCTTTGGAGCACCAGAGGCGGTTGGCCAACATGAAGATGAAGACAATGAACAGGAACCCCACGACCGCAGCCAGGCCCACCAGCCAGGGCTTCAGATGGCGCTCTGTGGGGAGGTGGGGGGAGGGGGGACTCAGAAATGGGAAGGGTGGAAAGTGGAGTGTTAGCCCCTCAGTTGTGTCCGACTCTGTGTGACCCCATGGACTGTAGCCCACCAGGCTCCTCTCTCTGTGAGATTCTCCAGGCAAGAATACTGGAGTGGGTTGCCATGCCCTCCTCCAGGGGATCTTCCCGACCCAGAGGTCAAACCCAGGTCTCCCTGCATTGCAGGTGGATACTTTACTGTCTGAACCACCAGGGAAGCACCAGGGAAAGGTGGGGGGGGCCCCCAAAAGGACAGGGAAAGACGAGTGCAGGAGATACTCAGACATTAGCATGTGCGATCTAGTTCCCCAACCAGGATGGAACCCATGCCCCCGGCAGTGGAAGTGTGGAGTCCTAACCACTGGACTTCCAGGGAAGTCCTTTAAATTTGTTTGCTTGTTTTTGTGACACCACAGCTTGTGGGCTCTTAGTCCCCTGACCAGGGGTTGAACCCAGGCCTCGGGCAGTGAGAGAGCAGAGTCCTCAACAGGGGACCTCAGGGAAGTGCCTCAGAGATGGCGGTGCTCAGAGATGGGGTTGGAAGCCCTGAGGGAGTGGGGGAGTTGGGGAGGGGGCCTCCCTTCTCTTCTGCCTGTCCCTTCTCCTCTCAGGGTCCTTGGTTTCTCATCAAGTGGGGAGGGGGCGAGCCCATGTCCGAGCCCATCCCCCAACCCCTCCTCCCACCCCCCAAACCAGAGGTCAGAGCCTTACCCTTCTGGGCCTCAGCTGGTGACAGGAGCAGACCCGTGAGCAGAAGCAGGATCCCTAAGGTCCCCATCGTGCAGAGGAGCCAGCAGCCGGGGTGCTGGAGTGTGTGGTCCCCCCGTCAGGATCAGGGAAGGCCCTGCCCAGCTCCTGATAAGGGGGCAGGCAGGTCTGGGGGCGGGGCAGGCCCCGAATGAGGGCCCCTCCCATTGCCCCACCTGGTTGGCATCCCACACCCTCTCCCCCACCTTCCAGGAGGGCAGACTCTGGACCTGGTTGTAACGATTAACTCAGGAGTCCAGCCCCTCTGCCCTGCGTCCCACCCCCAGACAGCCGGCCTGCGGGTCCCCCCAGGCTCGCCCCACAGGGGCCGAGCTGAGATGGCCCTGACCTGGCTTCCTGACTCAGTGCTTTTACGCCTCATTACATTTCTTTCTCTGCACACACCACAGACTTTTGCCACCTGCATTTTACAGGGAGGCCAGGAGCGCCAGGCTGGGCAGAAACAGCCAGCACTGGGATGTGAACATGGGTCTCTCTCATCGCCAGCTTATACTGCTTCATCGTGGCTCCCCGACCCCGGGGCACCCACAGCCAACAGGAAAGCACAAGGAGCAGGAAAGGAGGGGCCCCCCTCCACCTTCAAGCCCAGGAGAACGGGGCCCGAGCAGCCGGTGACTCAGGCTCCAAGTCTCCTGTGTGGCAACCTTGATCACTAAGTTGATTAGATAGATGGCCCTGTCTGGGAGAAGGGGGACCCTACCCCTCAGCTGCCATGAGACAGCCACAGCCCAGGCACGTGGCAGGAAGACTGGGGCGGGGAGGCCTGGCCCTGCTCCAGGCCACCAGCATCACTGCCCCCTCCCTTCCTGAGCTCTGACCACGGCCGCAGTGCCTGAGGGCCACTCACTGGAGCCCAAGACCAGCCCACACTTGAAGTCCGTACTGTGTGCCCTGCCCCATGCAAAGCTCAGGAGGGAAGGAGGCCCCTGTCCTCGGGGTGCCCTCAGGCTAGTTAGGAAGGCAGGACCCCCAGAGACAGACCACCCCATAATCTAGCCGAGAGGACCTGGGGGTGGAGGAGCCCAGGCGGCACGCCTCTGCTTCCCCAGGCAGGTCGCTGGCTGGGCTGGCCTCATCCCGCAAAAAATTCTCTCCGCTCCAACCAAGTCATGTCTGGGCTGCATGCCTCCATTTTCCCATCTAAAAAATAGGTGGATAAGTCCCACATTGGAGGATTGAATGAAAGAAAATACAGAAAGGGCTTGCTTAGCATCCCACAGCTTTAGCTAAGGGTTGGCCACTATTGTGATCTCTCTTTTTTTTTAAATCTCCTTAGTGTTTTTGGTTTACAGGTTGCCCAGGGCTTGGTGGAAACTGAGTTGGGTTAGGCTCTGGCAGAACGGGGGAAGCCAGAGCATGCAAATAAACCAATGTCCAACCACTGGAGCCTGCCAGCCAAGAAAGACCATGTTTTCTGTCAAGATCAGGAAAGCACAAGGAGCAGGAAAGGAGGGGCCCCCCTCCACCTTCAAGCCCAGGAGAACGGGGCCCGAGCAGCCGGTGACTCAGGCTCCAAGTCTCCTGTGTGGCAACCTTGATCACTAAGTTGATTAGATAGATGGCCCTGTCTGGGAGAAGGGGGACCCTACCCCTCAGCTGCCATGAGACAGCCACAGCCCAGGCACGTGGCAGGAAGACTGGGGCGGGGAGGCCTGGCCCTGCTCCAGGCCACCAGCATCACTGCCCCCTCCCTTCCTGAGCTCTGACCACGGCCGCAGTGCCTGAGGGCCACTCACTGGAGCCCAAGACCAGCCCACACTTGAAGTCCGTACTGTGTGCCCTGCCCCATGCAAAGCTCAGGAGGGAAGGAGGCCCCTGTCCTCGGGGTGCCCTCAGGCTAGTTAGGAAGGCAGGACCCCCAGAGACAGACCACCTCATAATCTAGCCGAGAGGACCTGGGGGTGGAGGAGCCCAGGCGGCACGCCTCTGCTTCCCCAGGCAGGTCGCTGGCTGGGCTGGCCTCATCCCGCAAAAAATTCTCTCCGCTCCAACCAAGTCATGTCTGGGCTGCATGCCTCCGTTTTCCCATCTAATAAATAGGTGGATAAGTCCCACATTGGAGGATTGAATGAAAGAAAATACAGAAAGGGCTTGCTTAGCATCCCACAGCTTTAGCTAAGGGTTGGCCACTATTGTGATCTCTCTTTTTTTTTAAATCTCCTTAGTGTTTTTGGTTTACAGGTTGCCCAGGGCTTGGTGGAAACTGAGTTGGGTTAGGCTCTGGCAGAACGGGGGAAGCCAGAGCATGCAAATAAACCAATGTCCAACCACTGGAGCCTGCCAGCCAAGAAAGACCATGTTTTCTGTCAAGATAGCGCAGATCAGTGGAGAAGAGGCTCTGACGGGCATGAGTCCACTTTATATTAATACAACCACCAAAGGGGCTGGAGCCAGCCTCCTGGGCCCCAGGGCAGGGCCCAGCTCAGCCCAGCTTCCAAAAAGAGCTCCGGACTGGTGGATCTTTGAAGGCAATGGAGGGGCGGCGGGGGGCCCTGGTGGGGGCTTCTGTGGGGGCCCCCTCGCCACCCCCACCCGCGTCCTCCTCGCCCCGCCAGGCCAGAGCCAGCTGCAGGTCCAGTTCTTCCAGGTCTTCGCCCTCGGGGCTCTCGGGCAGCTCCCGGGGGGCGTCCTCCTGATCCGGCTTCGGGCCAAAAGCCCAGTCTGCGACAGGAAGGTGATAAGCGTCCCCAGGCATGGCCACCTTCCACCCTCTTCCCTGGCTACGGGAGACCCTTGGGCCCTCCCTCCCCCTGTGATCCAGCACTAGCCCACTCCAGGTGTGCTGGGTAGCGGCTCACCAGCCAGATCGTGGGCAAGGTCCTTGATGAGATGGCCCACAATGGCGTAGGCCACGGCCACCACCAGGAACGCAGCCAGCAGCAGGTACAGCACGTACCTGGGCAGGCGGATGGTGTCCAGTGGCGGCGGGCGGTACTCCTCATAGAGTGGCGGGGCCGGGCTCCAGTTGTCCATCCCCTCCTCGGTCGCCAGCCCCGGCATGACAGCCACCTGGAGCAGGAGAGGCCCGGAGGTGACCTGCCTGGCGGAAGTATTAAGGAGCTTTGGATAAGAGGATTGGGGCTCCCCTGTGGCCACCATCTGCCTGGGTGTGGATCACATTGCAAATCACTTCCGCCCACTGCCCCCTCCCTCGCTCAGCAACAGCCGCTGCCAGGCGCTCCCCTGCACATCCATCACCCCCCACAGGGCCTTAGCACAGGTTGCTCCCTCTTCTGGGAAAATCCCTACCCTCCTGGAGCTGACGGTCAAGATGGGGAGATAGGGAGTTTCCCAAGTGATTTAGTGGTAAAGAATCCACCTGCACTGCAGGAGATTCAGGAGATGTGGGTTCAATCCTGAGTCGGGAAGATTCCCTAGAGAAGGACATGGCAACCCGCTCTAGTATTCTTGCCTGGAGAACCTCATGGATGGAGGAACCTGGCAGGCTATAGTCCATAGGGTCGCAAAGAGTCAGACGTGACTGAAGTGACTTAGCATGCATGCATGCGCACACATGGGGGGATAGACTCTGAGAAAAGCATAACCTTAGAGTAAGGATTGTGTTGTGTTAGAAAGTGAACAGTGGGGCTTCCCTGGTGGTCCAGTGGTTATGATTCTCCAGCAAATGCAGGGAACACAGGTTCAGTCCCTGGTCTAGGAGGATTCTACATGCCACAGGGCACTTAAGCCCATGCTAGTGCCTGCAAGCTGCAACTAATGAACCCATGTGCCAGAAGTACCACCAGCCCATACACCCTAAAGCCCATGCTCAGCAGCTAGAAGCCACTGCTCACCACAACTAGAGAAAGCTCCTGTGTGTAGCAACGAAGACCCAGTGCAGCCAAAATAAATGACATTAAATTTTTAAAAAAGAGAGAGAGAAAGTGAACAGCGGTTTGAGGGTAGGGTAGGCGGGAAGACCACCCTGCCCTCAGTGGTTTGAGGGCAGCGTGGGGCTTCTAGGAGGGAAGTTAAAGTTTGCAGTAGGGCAGCCAAGGTCATGTCCAGCTGATATTTGGCCAGAGGCCCAGAGGAGGAAAGGACCAGCCATGGCAGTACCAGAGGGAAGAAGTTTATTGGATGCAGCATGAGCAGGACAGACTTGATGGACATGACCAGACTCGGGTGCTTACAGGCGCCCTCCGGTGGTTGCTGTGGGGAAGACAGACTGTGGAGGTGAGGGTGGGATCTCTCAGGTGCTCACAGACGCCCTCCGGTGGCTGTTGTGGGGAGGACAGATCCTGGAGGTGAGGTTGGGAGCCAGGGGATGGATGGGCCAGAGGGATTGCGCCGGTCCAGATGGGAAATAATGAGGTTGGACCAGGTGCAGGCAAAAAAGTGGGGCGGAGTAGGCAGAGCTGGGGCAGATTTTAAACTGATCAAACCCTGGTGTTGGCAGGCTGGGCACCTGGAGTGACAGGAGTTTCCATTTCCTGTAGGAGACGCCACTGTGGGAGGTAGCAAGTCTAAAGCCTGCTAAATTTGGGAAGCCTCATCAGCTAATTAGAGATATCCAGACTGGACCCTGAGTCAAGAGCTACGGGGAGGTTCCGCCACCCTCACCCCACGGCTGGAGTCAGGCCGGTGAGTATGACTGGGATACAGATGGGATTTAAGCCCCAGTAGTGGATTAAGCTGCCCGGCTGGGATGTGAGTGGGGCTTGAGGACCCAGCCCTGGGCCAGTGAAGGATAGGAAGGGGAGATGAAGGCGGGCCGGAGGCGGGGTCCCTGAGAAATTCCCAGGAGCAGAGGGGCTGCGCGGTCGGAGGCTTCCCGGAGGCGGTGAGTGCAGACTGAGATGTGACCACCAGATTTGGACACTGGGAGGCCACCTGTGGGCTTCCCCCATGGCTCAGCAGGAAAGAATCTGCCTGCAGAGCAGGAGCTGCAGGAGACCTGGGTTCAATCCTTGGGTAGGGAAGAGCCCCTGGAGGAGGGCACGGCAACCCATTCCAGTTCCCATCTCCAGCCTGGAGAATCCTCATGGACAAAGAAGCCTGGAAGGCTACAGTCCATAGGGTCGCAAATACTCGGACACGATGAAGGGACTTAGCACGCACTCACAGGTCATCTGTGGGCAAGGACTGTTCTGGGGACTTGAGGGGCAGTCCTAGTTGGCATCTGTTTGGGAGAGAACCAGCTGGCGAGGGTCTGAAAACTTCCTAGGGCTTATGGGGGCCAGAGCTGGAAGGCATGGGGTCAGGACTGTGTGTGATGGTGCTGGTTTTTCTGCTCTTAAATTACAGGGACTTCCCTGGTGGTTCAGAGGTTGGGAATTTGCCTTGCAATGTGGGGGACATGGGTTTGATCCCTGGTCAAGGTACTAAGATCCCACATGCCACAGGGCCAGTTGACGAGGCGGGCTAGGGTCCTGGGGAAAATTGAGGGAGGGGGCTCGCAGCCAGCACCCAAGGGTGACGCTGTAGGATAACAGGAAATCTGTTTGTTCTTCATCCTGGCACCTGGCACAGAGCTTCCAAGAACCTGTAATTTCCTGAGTGATGGGATGAAGGAAGCCTCCTCTGTGGTTCGTAATCAGCCTCTTTCTACCACACCTGTGTGTCAGCTGATGCAGACGGGGTGGGGCAGCTTTGTGTTGGAGGGCCCCGGTGGCATGGGGAACCAACTCTGGGATAGAGGGATGGAACTTTCAGCCCCACCACCCCAGGGAGAGGGCTTCTGGGTGGCTCAGACGGTAAAGAATCAACCTCTAATGCAAGAGACCCGGGTTCGATCCCTGGGTCAAGATGCCCCAGAGGAGAGCATGGCAACCCACTCCAGTATTCTTGCCTGGAGAATTCCATGGACAGAGGAGCCAGGCAGGCTACAGTCCATGCGGTCGCAGAGTCCGGTACGACTGAGACACAGAACTGAGTGTACCCCGGGGAGAGGGGCTGGGAACTGAGCTAATTGCCAATGGTGACTTAACAGACCATGCCCATGCTGAAAACCCTACTGCAAGGGGCTTGGAGAGCTTCCGGGCAGGTGAGAGCATCCGCCCCATGAGGACAGACACTCTTGTGCTGGGGACCCTCCTGGACTTTGCGCCTCTTCATCTGGCTGTTCATTTGCCTCCTTTATGATAAATAGGTATGTAAATTGTTTTCCTGACTTGAGGGGGTGGTGGGAGCCCCAAATTATAACCAGTCGATCAAAAGTACCGGAGGTCCAGACTCGAGACCAGGGTCTGAAGTGGGGCAACTCGGCAGGTCTGACTCCTGAACCCAGAGGGTCTGCACTTACTCTAGGCAGATGGTGTCAGCACTGAACTGGGTTGTAAGACACCCAGCTGATCCCAATGTAGAAACTGAGAACTTCTTGGTGTGAAAATGTGTCACACATGAAATGAGTTCTCTTCTTAACACCCATTTTGCTGCTGCTAAGTCGCTTCAGTCATGTCCGACTCTGTGCGACCCCATAGATGGCAGCCCAGCAGGCTCTGCCATCCCTGGGATTCTTCAGGCAAGAACACTGGAGTGGGCTGCCATTTCCTCCTCCAATGAATGAAAGTGAAAAGTGAAAGTGAAGTAGCTCAGTCGTTTCCTACTCTTTGCGACCCCATGGACTGCAGCCCACCAGGCTCCTCTGCCCATGGGATTTTCCAGGCAAGAGTACTGGAGTGGGTTGCCATTGCCTTCTCCAAACACCCATTTTACAAAGCGGTAAATGGCCTGCTAGAGACTGCAGGTGGAGGAAGTAGGGGAAGGAGGTGGGATGGGAACTCACAGCCCGAGCTCTCAGCCATACCACAAAACCCCTTCCCTTATGTCCCCAATAAAGGCTGGGCGAGGATGAGGTCTGGCTTGGTGGGAACTGGCTGGGCAGATTTTATTCCTGGGAATTGATGGTGAAACAGGAGCACTGGCTTGTGGTCAGTCACACAGTCTCGGGCAGGGCAGACGCCAGAGCTGAGCTCTCCAGACGCCTTTGTCCCCCACACTTAGATGTTCCTTTAGAGCCGCCGTCCCTCACCTCTGCCACCCCCAACACACTCTGAGAGTCATCGCCTGGCAAAAATAATTTAATAGTCCATCTAGGCTGTGTCCCTGGGACCTGCTTGCCCTCCCTAAGCCCTTAGCTCCAGGCCACCCCACCCCACCCAGGGACCACCTCCCCACCCCACCAAGGACAGCTCCAACACCCCCAACCCTGGGGTCCTGGGTTTCCCCACAGTGCCTTCCCTGCACCCTTCCATTCCTAGAGAAGCTGGGCCACCGCACCCCGACCCCCCATAACACAGCTCTGTTCCCACAACCCCTCGGTCCCCCCTCCTTGTGCTCAGCAGCAGAAGAGACTTCAGCGTGGCCCCTGGAAGCCTGCGATCATGATGCAAAAGGGGCCAGGAGAAGGGAAGCAAGATCCGATTCGCTCCAACACGGTTTATGCGCCGAGTCCAAGCGGGGAGGCCGCCAGGAGGAGGCCCTAGGAAAGCGGCGAGCGCAGCCGCTCCAGCCCGTCCGCATACTGGAAGGCCGACCCCGTCTCGTGCTCGTACATGTCCAGGGCCACCTCGCAGCTCTCCCGCACCACACGCTCAGGGTCGGCCGCGTGGGCCCGCAGGGCGGCCAGGCAGGCAGGCCGGGCGATGGCCCCCAGGGCCTCGGCGCACTCATGTCGTACCATGGGGTTCTCGGTGGGCCGCGCCAGGGCCGCCGCCAGCTGGGGCACTGCCGCCTCCTGCTGCATTTGGCCCAGAACGTAGCCGATCTCATGGCGGAAGAGGGCGCTGCCGCAGCGCAGGCCTACAGGGGAAGGAGGTCACGGGCTGGGGTCACCACAGAGCGAGGAGGGGGCCTGGCACGGGGCGCCGGGGGACAGAGGGACCGAGAGGGGTCGAAAGGGGGTTCCTGTACCTGGGAGCACTCCCCAACACCCCACCCCCACCACTCCCGGAGTTCAGAGGTGGGACCTATGCCACCAGAGGGACTGGGGAGGCAGGGTGGGCCCATCCGGGCACTGGAAACTCAGCCCTCCTGCCCACCTCCCCAGAGGCCAGACTGGGCATCCTCCCATCCTGTCCCCCTGCACCCCCAACTCCGTGCTGTGCCCCCACCGCCCAGTGCAATTTGCAGGCATCTTATACATTTGTGCTTCTGGGTCATCTCCCGCACGATCCCCACACTCTGTAGAGTCTTGGTGACCCTGACAGGCAGAGTCCCAGGTCTTTTACCAGCAGAGCCACACAGAGGGGCCACACTTCTCCTGATGGGGCCCCAACCCTCGGACCTGGGAGTGACCTGCCTGTGATCTGGTGTCCTCTGGAGGCAGAGCTGGGATCGGAGGCCAGCCCGCCTGACTGTGCAGCTGCTGCTCCAGGCAAGCAAGGACAAACCCACACCTGCCCGCTCTGCACTCCCGCCCCGGGTCCATGTGGTGGTGATGTCCCAGCACCTCCCTGGCCAGACAGGAAGCTCCAGGAAGACAGAGGGGCTCTGAGCGCTCTGTGGACTGAAAGCAGCCACCTCAGGCGTGGGGGAGGGGAGCAAGGGACCCCAGGATTCCCGGAGGCCCCTCCTCTTCTTTTCTGCTGGAGGAGCCACAGCCCCTCACACCTGCACAGGGCTCCCTGCAGAGCTGAGATGAAAATGCCACCAGTAACGGTAATGGGGGCCCCTAGGGTCAAACCCAAACTCTGCAGCTCAGACTGCTGTGTGACCTTAGACAAGTCCCTCTGCCTCTCTGGGCCTAGGCTCCCACCACGGGGAAGTGGGGGTAATAAAAGCACCTGCCCCAGGATGCTATGCAGCTCTATGCAACAGATATGGCCACAGGGCCTCCCCAAGGGCCCCAACCCCGACCCCTGAAGCCCCTCCTCACCTTCGGCCAGTGCCAGGGCGGCCTCCTTGCCTCCAGCGTTGCGCAGGGCGAACATGGCTCGGTATCGGTCGAACAGTGGCCGGGCCTCGTCCAGCAGCGCCTCCCGCAGCCGCCCCAGGTCGTGCTCCTCAGCAGGCGGGGCCGGGTCCACAGAGAGGTAGGGCCCCCGGACTGCTGACTCCCCACTGTGCTGCTGCAGCCACTCCAGCCGCCGGACAGCCAGCTGGCATGTCTCGGCCACCTGCAGAGACAGGGGCACACAGGCGGCCACTGGGGACGGGAGGGAAGGGAGTGGACATGCCAGGTCCCCCTCCAGCCCCCAGGGCTCCCGGTTTAGCAGGGGGAGAGCCCACAGACTCTGGACTAATTGATCCTTCCAGGCTGGAAACAACCAGCAGAGACTGCTGTGATCAGGGAATGATAGGGGAACAGTGGGTCAGAAGGAGTCACTCGGAGGTGACCAGTGAGAAAAGCATCAGGTGGGATCAGCCAGTGCAAAGGCCCTGAGGCAGGACTGTCGGAGGGGGCCAGCAACAGACATGACCTGAGGAGGCCAGGCCAGACTGCTTAAGACTACTGTTCTAAAGGTGATGACAAACCATGAGTCTTGAGGCAGAGAATAGGTTAACAGATGATGGATGATAAATAAAAGTGATCCCTCCACACACAGGAGCATCACTCAGCCCTGAAAAGTGGAGAAGCCCAGACATCTGCTACCATGTGGATGGACCCTGAGACCACGGTGCTCAGTGAGAGAGGCAGACACAGAAGGACACACAGGGTGTGATTCCACTGACAGGAAACATGCAGAACAGGCAGGTCCACAGACACAGAGAGTGGGTTCCTGGAGGTCAGGGGATGGGGAGTGACTGTTCATGGGGATGGGGCTTCCTTCTGGGGGGATGGCCTGTTCTGGGAATCAGACAGTGATGATGGTTTTATAACTCTATGGATGTACGAAGTGAAAGTCAAAGTTGCTCAATTGTGTCCGACTCTCTGAGATGCCATGGACTATACAGCCCAGTGAAATTCTCTAGGCCAGAATACTGGAGTGGGTAGTCTTTCCCTTCTCCAGGGGATCTTCCCAACCCAGGGTTCAAACCCAGGTCTCTGGCATTGCAGGTGGATTCTTTATCAGCTGAGCCACTAAAAACCACCCAAATGCACACTTTCAGGGAGTGGGTTTTATGGTATGTGACACATCTCAATAAATTCTAGGCCAGAATACTGGAGTGGGTAGTCTTTCCCTTCTCCAGGGGATCTTCCCAACCCAGGGTTCAAACCCAGGTCTCTGGCACTGCAGGTGGATTCTTTATCAGCTGAGCCACTAAAAACCACCCAAATGCACACTTTCAGGGAGTGGGTTTTATGGTATGTGACACATCTCAATAAAGCTGTTGTTTAAAGAAAAACTAGGGAATGCGGCAGGGAGACACTGGATGAGGCTGGGCGGAGGTGAAGAGGTGGGTGGGTTGGGAGATCTACACGATGGAGGGACTGCCCATGGGAGGCTAGGGGAAAGGTGAGTGGGGGCTGGGCTGGCGCCAGTGGAGCAGGGTAGGTGTTACGTGTGAATCAAGAATTCAGTTTTTTAAAAGTGAAAAGAGTCCAGTTTTGCCCAAAGAGGAAGTAGCTGGTGTTCATCCTGATTGCAGCCCTCTCTCGGCATCCCTGGGCCAGGTGGTCACCCTGGCAACCAGACACAGGGTCTGAAGCCAGTTCCTGGACCCGAGATGGGGGTGGGCATGGGGGGTGCTGCGTTACCTCAACGACAGGGTCAGTAGAGTACTGCTTCAGGATCTCCAGCACCTCTGGGTCCCCAATGGCCCCCAGGGCCTCCCCTGAGAACAGGGCAGAGAGTGCACATTGGTTGATGGGGAAACACCTCAGATGCCTTCCCCCACTGCCCCTGCGTGTGTCCTGTGGATGGGCCACCCAGCCATGAGTTTTGGAGCAGGGACCAGTCCAGCCCTGAACCAATCTGCACCAATGAGTGTCCCTTCCCCAGAAATCAGCCTTTGCTGGAACCTGGCTTAGCCCCCACACTGGCCCACAGCCCTAGAGCTCATGGCCCAGAGGGGAGACGCAGAAAAGCATGTCCTTACAACTTGGGGACATGGGTGGTGAAAGCCAAGAACATTCCGCTGAGTTGAGTCCATCATGGAGAGCCCTGAAAACCTGGAGGAAGTTTCCAAGCTGCCATGTGGGCAAGGAGGGTCAGCAGACAGGCACCATCCTGCCTCAGGGCCTTTGCACCACCCAGAACCCCTTTCCCCAGACAACTACCTAGATTACTCCCTTACTCCACTTGGATCTCTGTCCAGCAATTAAAAACAGCAATGCTGGACTTCCCTGGTGGTTCAGTGGTTGAGACTCTGAGCTTCAAATGCACTGGGCGCAGGTTCAATCGCTGGTCAGGGAACTAGGATCCCACACGTCCCATGGAAAGGCAAAAAAAAAAAAAGGCAACACCTCTGGTACCCCCTCCCAGGCTTTATTTTCCTTCTTCACACTTAGGTAAGCGTTTACACCATAACATGACTGGGTATTCCAGAAAATCACACACAAGAAATCGAGGTTTGAGTTCAAACATTTCTCTGTAAGGAGAGCTCCTAGTGGAGTCAATGGTTGGGATCCTGAGAGGAGTCCAAAGCAGCCTGGCAAAGCTGGAGACTATCTTGGGGAAATATTCAAAAGGACCAAGAACAATCATAAATGGAAACACAGCCCCTCACTGGCTATCTGAGTCTCTTGTGAGAACAGCACCTGGCCCACAGTAGATGGTCCATGAACATTTGTCCAGTGAATTTCCTGGCAGTCCAGCGGTTAGGACTCCATGCCTTTTCTGCAAAGGGCACAGGTTTGATCCCTGGTTGAGGAACTAAGATCCCACAAGCCATCTGGAGTGGCCATAAAAAGAAAAAAATTGTCCAGTAAGTGAAGTGACTGAGTAACCTCAGGTTGGCCGTCTATAGCCACTGCCTGTCTTTGTATGAGCAAAGAAAGGTATTTCCAATTTTAACTTTTTTTTTTTTTTTAAGTCACTCAGTCGTGTCTGACTCTTGGCAACCCCATAGACTGTAGTCTGCCAGGCTCCCCTGTTCATGGGATTCTCCAGGCAAGAATACTGGAGTGGGTTATCATTTCCTTCCCCAGGGGATCTTCCTGACCCAGGGATCAAGCCCAGATCTCCCGCATTGTCTGTGTATTTTCTTTTAATCAAAGAGACCAGGGACTTCAGGTGGTCCATTGGTAAAGACTCTGAGCTTCCAATGCAAGGGGTGTGGGTTCAATCCCTGGTGAAAGATCTAAGATACCACATGCCACATGGAGCGACCAAAAAAATAAAAACAAAAACAAAGGGATCACAATTGATGACTCGTGAAATTCATATCTCAGGGCCCATAAAGCTGGACTGGCTCGAGGCAACGCCCATCTATTACCTGGGGTTTATTGGCTCTCCTGCTTCGGCAGCAGAGCTGAGACGTGGGGCAGAGATGGTCGGAGGCATTCACCACTCACCCCTCCCCGTGCTCGCCAGGTACAGCCACACCTCGTCCCCACTCACCTGCCTCGTGGCGCACCATGGGCTCCTGGCGGGTGTCCCGCAGCACGTCCAGCAGCACGGGGATGGCCCGCCGGTCCTGCATCTGGCCCAGGCAGTAGGCCAGCTCATGTTTGAGCAGGGCTGAGTCATCATCGAAGGCCCGGCTGATCCAGGCAATGGCCACTGGACCCCCGAGCCCACGCAGTGTGAACAGTGCCCGGAAGCGGGCCTGCAGGGGCTGCTGGGGGTCAACCAGTGTCTGCCCCACTGCCTCCACCTCCTGCTCTGTCACCATGGCGATGCTGCCTTCCTCCCAACTTGGGCTAAACCAGGGGCCTCTCAGCTTGAGAACCTGTTGGGGGCGGAAACCGAGATGCCATGTTAAAGGTGCCATTTGCTGCTAGCTGACTTGTTCATCTGAGTTAGGACCTCAGCGGGCTGGTTTCCAAACTACTGAACAGCCTGGGTGTCTGGGTCTGGCCCTGCCTACCTGCTGTGTGGCTTTCCCTAAGGCCCTTTTCCTCTCTGGGCCTGTGGCCTCGATCTACATCACCAATGACCTCCGCTGGTCTGCTTGCCACACAGCAGCCAGAAGGGCTGTGGAGACTGGTCCCCAACATGGCCTTCAGGGACCCTCACCTCTTGATGTTTGTGGACTGTGTGGACCTCACCCCCCACCCCACAGCGAATAAGGCTGACCCAGGTGAATAACGGGATATGAGAGAAAAGGCAATGTGACGTGGGAGGATCGTAAGGGACCCTGTGGCTTCCTCCTTGTGGCTCCAGGGGCCCACATGGTGGAGGAACTGAAGCCTCCCACCCCCAGCCCCAGCCCAGCCCTCAGATGATCTAGCCCGGCCAGGGTCTGCATGCAACCTCACACAAGATCAGAGATCAGAGCCACAGCCACCCGGCTAAATCAGGCCTGGATCCATGACCCACAGAGACTGAAAAATAGCGTTACTACTGTTTAGAGCTGCTGAGGACGTCCCCGGTGGTCTAGTGGTTAAGAATCCACCTTCCAGTGCAGGGGACGCAGGTTCCATCCCTGGTCGGGGAGCTAAGATCCTACATTGTTGTTGTTGTTCAGCTGCTAAAACTCTGAAGGCAGGGACTGAGTGCTAGTCACCCCTGTACTCCCAACACACAATTCCTGAATAAAAACAATGACCATGGACCTGCCTGGCGGTCCAGCGGTTAAGAATCTGCCTGCCAATGCAAGGGACACTGATTTGATCCCTGGTCCCGGAAGATGTCACAGGCTGTGGGGCAACTAAGCCTGCGAGCCACAACTGCTGAGCCAGGGTGCTGCCGTACTGAAGCCCGAGTGCACCCTAGAGTCTGTGCTCCTCAACAGGAGAAGCCACCGCAATGAGAAGCCCACACACCGCAATTAGAGAAAGCCTGCATGCAGCAACGAAGACCCAGCACAACCAAAAAATAAATAATAAATTTTTTTTTTTTTAAGAAAAGTAAGGGACTTCCCTGGCTGTCCTGTGGTTAAAAATTCACCTTCCAACGCACAGGGTGCGGGTTCCATCCCTAGTTGGAAAGTTGAGATCCCACATGCCTTGTGGCCAAAATGCCAAGACATAAAACAGAAGCAATATTGTAACAAATTCAACAAAGACTTTAAAAGTCATCTACATCCAAAAAAAAAAAAAAAGAAGAAAAATGACCATAACAATAACAGCAACTGACATTTACACAGGATGCGCTACATGCCAGTCATCTGTTCTAAGCCCTGACACTCCTAAACTCACTCCATCCTCTCCATAACCCTTTGAGACAAGCACCATGGTCGTCAGTGTTTCACAGGAGGGGCCACCAACCACAGAGGGGTGAAGCACTTGCCTAGGAACCCAGTGAAGAGTTAGAGATCCCGGCAGCTGGGCTCCAGAGTCAAGGTCTAAACCACAAACTCAGGGTTGAAAGGATTAAAATGAAAGGGCGCAGCTGAGGCTGGTCTTCATCCTCCAGACCAGTAAGGACGCTTCGTGAACCTGACGAGCAGGCTGTGGCTCCCAGCGGGGCCAGTAGGGCCAACCTGGTATAATAAGGGGGGTGCAGTTGTCTGAGCACAGGTGACCATCAAAGGAGGTAGCACTCAAAACAGGGATCATCAGGGACTTCCCTGGCGGCCCGGTGGCTAAGTTTCTGAGCTCCCAATGCAGGACCTGGCTTTGAACCCTGGTCAGGGAAATAGATCCCTTACGCCACAACTAAGATTCGGCGCAGCCAAATGAGTAAATGAATACATAAATAAACACAAAAGAGGGACCATTAGAAACTGCAGAAGCCAGGGGTGAGTAAGCTCATTAGGGATCATCCAGATTCGACTCATTGTTCTACAACAGATGAGCTGTGACCTGTCTGGGGTCACACAGCCAAGTCAGGACTCCTGACTCCCAGTCTGTACAGGGACTCCTTCAAGACACAAAGGAGAAACACTATTTTGCTTCCTGCTGTGTCCCCAAGGCCTAGCACAGTGTCTGTCACCACAGCAGCAGGCACTTAAGTATTGTTGAATGAACTGATTATCCACTGCCTGCCAGGCAGGGTACTGAGCACCTTATACACAGTATAACTCTGTATCATCTGTAAAACAGGTTTAAGGGGCACAGGGAACTCACTGAGTTGCTGCGAATGGAATTACATCCACAGAGCACTTAATACCACCGCTGGTACTTACTATGCATTTGATAAGCCAGAGCTGGTGTTAAGTTATTTCTGCGTGTAGCCCAACATCCACTTCTGTGCTCAGGAGGGTAAGGTATGCGTGTCGCGGGGCACACCTGGCCACCTGGACGCCCACTACTCATACTTCTAGGTCCATTTTTTCAGTGGGAAAGGGGACAAGGGTGTGAACGTGGGGTTACAGAGATCAGTCCCCAATCAAGGCATAGGGGAATCCGCTCGCCCCTGCAAAGTTGTGTCTCAGAGACAGACTTCAATGAAGAATGAGTAAGGGATGGAAGAAGGGAAGTTCGGAATTCCCGAAATCCGCCCCCTCTAAACCAAGAATTCCCAACAAAAAGACCTCCGATAACCAATCCCCCCCTCCAGAGCTGGTGTTAAGTTATTTCTGCGTGTAGCCCAACATCCACTTCTGTGCTCAGGAGGGTAAGGTATGCGTGTCGCGGGGCACACCTGGCCACCTGGACGCCCACTACTCATACTTCTAGGTCCATTTTTTCAGTGGGAAGGGGGACAAGGGTGTGAACGTGGGGTTACAGAGATCAGTCCCCAATCAAGGCATAGGGGAATCCGCTCGCCCCTGCAAAGTTATGTCTCAGAGACAGACTTCAATGAAGAATGAGTAAGGGATGGAAGAAGGGAAGTTCGGAATTCCCGAAATCCGCCCCCTCTAAACCAAGAATTCCCAACAAAAAGACCTCCGATAACCAATCCCCCCCGCCCCCGCTAAAAGGCAGGTCGCCCCAACACGGCATCCCTCGGGGCAGCTCCCAGGATCCCCCAGCAACGACCGGCTCCACAAAGCTCCTTGGAAGAGACTGCCAGGAACTGATATCTCATGGCATCACTGACTCAATGGACATGAGTTTGAGCGAACTCCGGGAGATGGTGAAGGAAAGGAAAGTCTGACATGCTGCAATCCATGGGGCATCAAAGTGTCAGACACAACTGAGCGACTGAAAAACAAGATCCGTTTATGTGTGTCCTCCAGTACCTGACGCTTCAGTTTGGTTCTCCCAGAACCCCGAGAAAGAAGTCACCCAACATGGGACCTTCCCCGGCGCCCCACGTGCTGATTCTTCACTACGCGCATCTCCGGAGACAGGGTCTGCAGAACTGGAGCCAAACAGTTCGCCGGGACCTCCCAGAGGGAGGCGTTTCTACTCCCCAGAGAGAGAATCCCAGCGCCGGGACCCCAGTGAGGCGTCCTCCCCGTCCCCCCCGCCTCCGGAACACCCCAGTGAGTTACCAGATCGGAGGATCCACCGGACCGCCCGCTCCGCGGCCGCTGCCACCAACACTTCACCAACCGCGACACTGCTACAGCGCTCTGGGGGCCGCCATCTTGCCGCCCGCGTGACCAGGCCGGCCGGCACCAACGCAGCGCTGAGGGAGGATCCAATCTTAGGCTCCGCAGTGTGAGTGGGCCCGCAAGCCCGAATTAGCAACGGTGCCATAGCTCACACTCACACCTCAGGAGGGATCTACGGGCACTTCTCAGGGAAAGGGAAGAGCAGCTTCCATCCTTTACAGGCCAGAGATTTTCTCTCCGGCCTCCCTACCCGGTACGACGAATGGAAATGGTTTGTCCCGATTCAGCCGAGAGGTGGGGCCGGCAAGCGACGCCCCTTGCTTAGTGTTCCTGGGGCGTGGTCAAGTCTCAGGGGCGTGGCCAATGGACTAGCTAAATGCTAGATAGGGAGGAATGAAAAAAAGGACTTGACTTAGTCATTTATTCATTCATTTATTTATTCATTTAACAAACACTTTATGGGACTTCCCTGGTGGTCCGGTGATTAAGACACACTCCCAGTGCAGGGGGCACAGGTTTGCTCCCTGGTTAGGGAACTAAGATCCCACCTGCTGTATGGCTCTTCTCCCCACCAAGAAAGAAAACAGACTGGAGGGACGGTGGAGGCAAAGAGAAATATTCAGCTTCTGAGTTAATTTTGAAGGTGGAACGAACAGGATTTGCAGCTGGATTGCATATGGATTTGGGAGAGTTCCGATTAGGATACGCGCAAGGTTTCCGACACGTAAGTGGATGGAGCCACCATGAACCATCCAGTTCAGTTCAGTCGTGTCCGACTCTGTGATTCCCATGGACTGCGGCACGCCAAGCTTCAACTTCACTGTCCATCACCAGCTTCCGGAGCTTGCTGAAACTCATGTCCATCCAGTCAGTGATGCCATCCAACCATCTCATCCTTTGTTCTCCCCTTCTCCTCCTGCCTTCAATTTTTCTCAGCATCAAGGGCTTTTCCAATGAGTCAGTTCTTTGCATCAGCTGGCCAAAGAATTGGAGCTTCAGCTTCAGCATCAGTCCTTCCAATGAATATTCAGGACTGATTTCCTTTAGGATGGACTGGTTGGATCTCCTTGCTGTCCAAGGGACTCTCAAGAGTCTTCTCCAACACCACAGTTCAAAAGCATCAATTCTTCAGTGCTCAGNTTGTCTCCAGGATGCTGCCTACAAAGAAAAGATAGCTTGTAAGGGATTATGTCAAAATAGTAGTTCCTCAAAAAGTTAAACATAGAATTAGCATCAAAAAAGTGAAAGTAACTCAGTCATGTCAGTCTCTTGTCTCTTTGAGACCCCATGGACTGTAGCCTGCCAGGCTCCTCTGTCCATGAAATTCTCCAGGCCAGAATACTGAAATCGGCAGCCGTTCCCTTCTCCAGGGATCGAACCCAGGTCTCCCACATTGCAGGCAGATTCTTTACCATCCTGAGCCACCAGGGAAGCCCAAGAATACTGGAGTGGGTAGCCTATCCTTTCTCCAACAGATCTTCCCGATCAAGGAATCGAACCAGGGTTTCCTGCATATGATCCAACAATTCCACTCCTAGAGAGAAATGAAAGCAGGGACTCCATAATTGCACACCCATGTTCATCACAGCATTATTCACAGTGACCTCAGACCTTGGTAACCTCTAGCATATTTTCTCTCTATGAATTTGACTACTCTCGGAACCTTAGCAAGTGGGATCAAACAATATTCGTCCTTTTGTGCCTAGTTTATTTTGCTGAGCATAGTTATCTTCAGAGTTCATCCACACTGTAGCGTATGTCAGAACTTCCTTCCTTTTTAATTTCCTTCCTATTGCATGAGTGGAACCACATTTTGTTTATCTATTCATCCATCAGTGGATATTTGGATTGTTTCCACCTTTTGGTTATTGTAAATAATGCTGCTATGAACATTGGTGTACAAAGAGGTGTACCTCTTTGAGTCCTTGTTTCCAAATCTTCTGGGCATATACCCAAGAGTGGAATTTCTAGATCATATAGTAGTTCTATGTTTAACTCTTTGAGGCACTGCTGAACTGTTGTCTATAGCTGTACTCTCTTATGTTCCCACCAGCAACAAACAAGGATTTCAATTCTTCCTCTTTCTCATAGAAACCCTTGTTATTTTCTGCTTTTTTTTTCAGTTTTTTTTTTTATGCACACCATTTTTTAAATCTTCATTGAATTTGTTACAATATTGCTTCCATTTTATGTTCTGGGTTCCTTTTTCTTTTTTTTTTTTTGGCTAAGAGCCGTCTGGCATCTTTCTTTCTCAGGAATCAAACCCATACCCTCTGAATTGTCCGTACCCTCTGAACTGGAAGGCAAAATTGCAACCACTGGACCACCAGGGAAGTGTAAGGGAAATTAAAATGGAGGAAGTCCTGTTCAGACTTCAGAAGCAGGGTAGCAGGCCTCTGACCTGCCTAGACACTGCTGGGATTCTGTGTCTGCCTGCAAGCACAGCAAGCCAGGCAGCACTATAGATAAGAAAGGAAGTGAGTCCTGGAATCTCTTAAGCCTCTGAGGATCTGGTCAACCCCCTGGGGTTTAAGAAGTCTTATGACTCATGAGGTGAAACAAACAGTATTGTAAAAGTTCAAAGAAAAGCCTGAGCTAAAATTTTGCACTCAAACTGATGATGATATCATTTTCTGCCTGGGATTAGAAGTGGGCGTGCCCGAAACTGCAATTTGAAATCTTACCAGTTGGCTGGATGCACCACCTGAGACCTATCCTGTTAACAAGGGACTTCCTAATGCTGTTCAAGTCTGGATGTTGGTCAGTCAAATCTGGTGTTGTGTGTGCTGTTACTTTTCTCTATTGTTTCTATTTCCTTCCTTTAAAAAAAATTATTTACTTATTTCTGGCTGCCCTGGGTCTTTGCTGTTTTTGCATGGGCTTTCTCTAGTCGCAGTGAGCAGACTACTCTTTGTTGTGGTACTCAGGCTTCTCATTGCAATGACTTATCTTGTTGCAGTGCTCTAGGCATACAGGCTTCAGTAGCTGCAGTTCCTGGGCTCTCGAGAGTTGTGGTGGACAGGTTTAGTTGCTCTGAGGCATGTGGGATCTTCCAAGATCAGGGATTGAATCATGTCCCCTGCATTGGGAGACAGATTCTTTACCACTGAGCCACCAGCAAAGCCCTCTATTTCTCTTTTTTTAATGGCTGCATCTTAAAATTAAATCAAATAATCCTCTATTAAATATTGGAAGTGTTTATTGTGTGTTTGACAAGTGGTTTCTTTTCTTAAGGAATCCTTTGAACCTAAAAGGAAAATAAAACTTTTGGCTAACAGGAAGTCCTGTTATTTTCTTTTTGATAGTAGCCATCCTAATGGATGTGACGTATGCAACTTGTTTGGAGATGCATTAAAAAGTGAGATATATTGGTGAGTGGATAAAAGGATGGATAAATACAGAATAGGGCAAAATTAGCAAAGTGTTCATTGAGAAAGTGGACAGTAGGCATATGACAATTCATTGTAAAAGTCTTTCAATTTTTCTGTATACGTGAAAGTTTTCATTATAAACTGTTTGAAAAATAGGTGGTGGGGAAAAGGAGGGCAATATCTATTCTCCGTGTTTCAACATTTCAACGTTAACTATTTGAAAAGTGTTTTAACTGTTAAATGAGGAATCTTTGAGTCTGCAAATCCATTTTGAGGAATTTCACTGGCACTGAGTAAAAAAAAAGTGAAAAAAGAAGCATTCGTTTCCACATTATTTGAAATGGCAAAAAAAAAAAAACCCACTAACTTCCTCTTCTGCCTCCCTCAGCGTTCAGTTCTCATCATCACTCAATTGGACCAGTAAAGGCGCCTCCACCCTGAACACCCCCGCCCCACCTCTCTCCATTCCCCCACATTCTGTCCTCCCCGAGGAAGCCACCTGAGGGCGCCTGTGAGCACCAGCGACAGCTCCCACCCTCACCACCACAGTCTGTCTTCCCCGCACCAGCCACTAGAGGGAGCGTGTGAGCGCTGAGTCAGGCATCGCCTTTGCTTAGCCCGCAGCCCTCCAGGGCTCCCACCACCCTGAGTGAAAACCTGCGTCCTTGTGCAGCCCACGAGGCCCTGCACGACCTGCCCGTCCTCTCCCAGCCCTCTTTTGCTTCCTCTCTCCCCCGCGCCCACTCTGCTCCAGAAACACGGCCTCCCCGCTGTTCCTCCAACACACCAGACACAGTCCTGCCCCAAAGCCTTTGTGTATGCTGTGCCCTCTGCCTGGAAGACGTGGTCCTCCAAACACCTTTGTTCACTCTTTCACTCAAGTCCAGGTTTTTATCTCCTTTGCGCAAATGTTATCTCCTCCAGTAAGCCTACCTGGGCATTTTATTTATTTATTTATTAGTTCTACCAGTTTATTGCTACCAACCCATCTCCCTCCACCCTCGTGCACACATGCTCAGTCATGTAATCCCATGGACTTCAGCCCGCCAGACTCCTCTGTCCATGGATTTTTCCAGGCAAGAATACTGGAGTGGGTTGCCATTTCCTTCTCCACTACCTGGGCATTTTAATTACCTCAGCCTCTGCAGTCCTTTACCCAGTCCCCTGATTTATTCTTCTCCACAGCATCTATATTTTACTGTATGTGGGAGCTCACTCACTTTAGTCGTGTCCAACTCTTTTCGATCCCGTGTACTGTAGCCAGCCACACTCCTCTGTCCATGGGGATTCTCCAGGCAAGAACACTGGAATGGGTTGCCATGCCCTCCTCCAGGGGATCTTTCCGACCCAGGGCTCAAATCCTTGTCTCCTGCATTGGCAGGTGGATTCTTACCACTGAGCCACCCAGGAAGCCCATATTTTACTGTACATTTTACTTAATTGCTTTGTTTACTACTTTCGCCACTAGGACACCCTAGGATGTAAGCACCATGAGAGCCGCAATTTACGTCTGATTTGTTCTCCATGATGAGATACCATGGTGTGCTGGTTAATGAACAACCTGGAAAAAATAATTTAAAACCCTGATTTGCAGTATTTGCCAATTCTTGGCGTGTAAATATTCCCATCACGGCCTGGTCACAAAATTCCTGATAGTGTCTCTTGTGAGTCAATGTATATTGAATCACTAAGTGGATCCCCATCTGCCGTTCCATGCCTGGCACAAAATAGATGCTGAAGGAGTTCCTTTGTGGTCCAGTGGTTGAGACTCCGCCTGCCAACGCAGCGGACACAGGTTTGACCCCTGGTCTGGGAAGATTTCACATGCTGAGGGGCAACTAAGCCCGTTTGCCACAACTACTGAGGCCGGAGGACCCTAGAGCCCGTGCTCTGACAGGAGAAGCCCAGGCACCGCAACTAGAGAGGAGCCCCGATCATCACAACTAGGAAAAAACCCATGTAGCAACGAAGTCA